CGAGGTGCGTGTGGAGCGGACGACCGTCGAAGCGCGGCCGTCGTCGACGCCGTCGCCACGCGCGTCGACATCGAGGCGTCAAGATATGAAGTTCGTCGCTCGTGCTTGCCGTTACAACAGAGCGTCCTATTCGCTCACGAGTCTTCGTTTTCACTGGAACTCCCCTCCATGATCATCGATCCGTACCCGACGTTTTTGAGGACGAATGATTTCGCGAGCGTCTCAACGTTGGTGACGCACACGTTATTCGCGTGTACCAACTCTGGAGGGCCGTCGAGCTCGAACTCGTCGTCGTCCCAGTCATCGTCGCTTCGAGGCGGACGCTTCAACAGCTCACGCATCGCTGTGACGGTGTAATTCGACAGTCCTCGAGCGAGTTCGAGACCATTTTCGTCCACAATACGCACCGCTTCTTGCACACCGAACGTTCCGTCGACGGCGACGCACTTTGATACCGCCAGGGCCATTCCGTTGAGCACCGCCTTGGCGCCCTCGTCGTCCACCTTCACCTCGCCCTTAATCGGGACGGTTAATATCCATCGCTTCTTCCCTCTGGCGCTCTTCTTCGCCGCTAAAAATTTCGTTCCTACTCCCGCGCTGCCCTTAAGAACCTCCACGATGGTGGAGGCTAAACAAATTATTGTTTGACATCCCGCCGCGCTCGCGATGCGCGCCGCGGTGAGCTTTGTCACCATCCCGCCGGTGCCCACGTTCGATCCCGCCCCGGAATCCACGTCCACCTGCAAAGCGTTGATATCCTCGACGATTGGAATTTTCTTCGCCTCTGGATTCGTGTTCGGATTCGCCGTGTACAAACCATCGACATCGGTGAGCAAGAAGAGATATTGCGCGTCGACGAGCGCCGCCACCTGCGCGCTCAGCGTGTCGTTATCGCCGAACCGCAGTTCCTCCACCGCCACGGTGTCGTTCTCGTTCACGACGGGAACGACCCCGAGTTCAAATAATTGCTCGAACGTTCGCTTCGCCTTGCCGTATTGCGTCCTATTTGATAGATTATCGAGCGTCAACAACACCTGCGCGCACTTCACCCCGAGCGAGCCGAACACGTCTTCGTAATACCTCATCAAGTGCGGTTGCCCGATCGCCGCCAACGCTTGCTTCCGCGCCAACGTCGGTTTCGTCGGTCCGGGTTTTATTCCCATCTTCACCATTCCCGCGCCCACCGCGCCGCTGCTCACGAGGACCACCGCGTGGCCGGCGCGATGTAAATCGCTCACCGTTTCGCACAGCGAGCACAGTTGCGAGAGATGCAAGCACCCGTCCTCGGGCTTGAGCAGGCTCGAGGTACCGACCTTGACGACGACCACGGACCGCGTCGCGCGCTCGGACATCGTCGACGACGCGCGGGACGACGGCGCGAGGCGCGGGCGCGACCGACGCGTCGACGCCGGGGGAAAACGCGTCGGAAACGCGTCGCAATCGCGCCGAGCCGAGCTCTCGATGGACTCAGCGGTCGAGTCGTGGCGACGCCGCAGGTGCCTTTGAATCGAAACGGTTTCGCTCGCAATCGGTGATTCGGGACCTATTGATTCGGAAATAAAACAAAAAAATTTCTCGATGGGCTTAATTAAATACTGAGTACTCGCAAAATAGCTATCGATGACAAGTTTCGATCTTGTGACCTTTGGGTTATGGGCCCAACGCGCTTCCACTGCGCCACATCGATGTATACGTCGTGGAATACGGTGTGGAAGTCACGTGCGTGGTTCACGGTCAATCCGTACACGTTGGTGTCGCAAATGTTACGGGTATGCGTGGAAAGCTGCGTCCACGCCCCGACCCCGGTGTCCCGCCGCGCCCGCGTCGATTTCCCGACGCGCGCGCGGGCGACGTCCGCGATGGCCGCCGCCGATGGCGCCGACGCGCACGCGTTCGCGAACGAGCGCGAGGTGATCGAGTACTTCACCTCGCTGTCCCGTGAGACGAACGCGGCGAGACAAAAGATCGCAGAGCTCGGCGTGAGCCTGCGAGAGCACGTCAACGTGTTGACCAACGTGCGCGGGTTAGAGCCGACGCGGAGGTGCTTTCGCTCCGTGGGTGGGGTCCTGGTCGAGCGCACGGTTGGAGAGGTGATCCCGGCGGTGGAGACGAACGCGAGCAACTTACAGCGAGCGATCGACGCGATCAAGGAGCAGTGCGCGGTGAAGGAGGCGGAGCTCGAGGCGCTGCGGAAAAAGTATAAGATTCGCGTGCAGGGAGAGGATGAGTCAGAGGGCCAGGCGAAGGTGCCGACGCAGGGTGGCGGTGGGATTCTGGCGTGAGTCGGCGCGGATCGCTCGTGGACACAGCGCGACGGATGAATGATTAGTTTTGTAGAAGTAAGGTTTCGTTTCGTTTCGTTTCGTTTCGTTTCATCTGAGGAAGCGCCTCAGATGTGGACGCCTCCCCGAACGACATGCCGCCCCTGAGCTCGACGTCGACGCCACCGGATCCAGTGATCGTGTTTCTGGACGTCGCAATCGGTATGAATCCCATCGGAAGAATCGAGATCTCCCTGGACGTAACGGCGTGTCCCAAGACGTGTGAAAACTTCAGAGCGCTGTGCACGGGCGAACGCTTCTCGTCCAAGACCAAGCGTGCGCTGCACTACGCGCAGTCAACATTTCACCGTGTCATTCCTGGGTTCATGATTCAGGGCGGTGACTTCACCAGGCACAACGGCACGGGCGGCGAGTCCATCTACGGAGACAAGTTCCCTGACGAGTCCTTCGCGCTCTCACACGACGGCCCTGGGGTGGTATCGATGGCAAATAGCGGGGCGAACACCAATAACAGTCAATTTTTTATCACCCTCGACGCGACACCGCACCTGGATGGGAAGCACGTGGTGTTCGGGAAGGTTTTGAGCGGCTTGGACGTCGCGCGCAAAATCGAAGCCGTCGGGAGCGCGAGCGGGACCACGCGCGAGGCCGTCGTCATCACCGCCTCGGGTCAGTTAACGTAGTGATGGTGATGATGGTATCGTATTCATAATCAATAGCGTCCTAGTCATCGTAGGTAGAAGATCTGTAGTCAGCTCGTGTTAGCGAACAGAGGCTCGTCCCCGCAGGTGCTCACTGCGCGGCGCGCGGTGCATGCTGAGCGGCGCTCTCGCCCGTCGACTCGTCGCACCCGTCGCCACCGCGTTCGCTTGTGGACTCGCGGTAACTCAAACCTCGCGCATGTGCGGGAGCTCGAGCGCGGAATCGATGTACGGCGACAAGCACGTTCAGATAACCGCCTCGTTCGACGACGTCAAGGACATTCGTCTTCGACCGTTACCGCTCTCCGACGGCGCCGCCGCGTTCGCCGCGTCCGAGCTGTGGCGGGAGAAACCGTGTGTGATGGTTGTCATGCGGCGACCGGGATGAATCCTCTGTCGCGGGGAGGCCCTGAAGGTGCGCGCTGCGAAGCCCGAGCTCGACGCTCTGGGCGTGACGCTGGCGTGCGTGCTGAAAGAGGGACTCCCGGCCGAGGTGGAGGAGTTTAAGCGAGATTACTGGCCCGAACATCTGTACCTGGACGAAGACAAAGCGTTCTTCAAAGCCGTGGGCGGTGGAAAGCTTCGAAAGGGATCGCTGACGGCGTTTCTGAACCCGTTCGGACGCGTGTACAAGCACGCGGGCGAGGCGAAGAAGACGGGCGTGACCCAACACAACCTCAACGGCGAGGGTTTGATCTTCGGTGGATCCTTTGTCATGAAGGCGGGATCGAAGGGGGTGCAGTATCAGTTTCAGGAGCGAAACTTTGGCGATCACGCGCCGATTGAGGACATCTTGGCGGCGGCTAAGGCTGCTGCGGCAGAGTAACGCCATGGCATCCTTCAGTGTGTTTCGTTCGCGATACGACGACGAATTCGCGCTCAGTGACGTGAGAAACGGAAATTCTTTGTTGATTTCACGAGGGTCGTTTCTTCACCGATAAGCGCGAACGTCGCGATGCTTCGAGAAGACAAAACCATCATTTCATGGTAGTACGCTTGTAACGACGATTCATTTTTTGTGCGACGAGTTCGGTGCGAGAATGATGACACAATCCTCATGTGTCTTTCTTTTCTCCCTCGCTCCTCGCCATCGTCTTGACGCGCTCTTCTTCCAATCGCTCGTCCTCCGCGGTGGGTTTGTAGACGAAGACAGGCTTTTTGGCGTGATGAAGCACGTAGTTGCACACCGAACCGATGAAAAATTCGCGAATGCGTCCTTTCGACGTGGATGCGAGAACGATCGCGGCGACTTCGTCGATGAGTTCAGATTTTTCCACCATTATCTCGCCGATACTTCCGGTTTGCATATCGTAAGGGACGATGTCGATCACGTACGAGAGTTTTGCTTCTTCAAGAAAGTAGGTAATGTGGTCCTGAATCCACTGAATCGCCTCGTTTCGTTGTGCCGCTTCCTGTTACGTGTTCGAAAAGTGTGCGTGTTCGGTCAGTGTACGATTAAGCTATCTTCGTCGCGCATGCGCGCTCGGCAAACTCGTCACCTCGTGGAATATCTCTCGTCGCAGCATCGGCGTGCTCTGGTACAAGTATTGCATGGCGGCCCTGGATTTACGAGGACAAAATCGCGTCGAGATCAATCACCTGTTTCGCATCTGGCACACCCACGGGGTAAAAGTCGCCCATCATCATCGAAACCGAGTCCTCGGCTGGAAATGTCCTGCGCGCGAGACGAGACGAGAACGCGCGCAGCGTGAACACTCCATCCATCGCGCGCGTCTCTCGAGCGTACGCGTTGTCGAATGAATCGCATCACTCATACGTACCCTGGAATCACGTGCACGAGCCGAACGACGTCGCCCTCCTGCGTCAGACTCCGAATCAACCACCGCACCAGCGGCGCGGATGTCTTCCCGCAGTCCAACGCAACGATCCACGTCCGGTTCGCTCCCAGCGTCGCGTCGCGCTCTCGCGTGCGAACGTTCGCCTCTGTGTCTTCGCTCGGCATCGCTCCCTTCATCGGCGTCGCCATCGTCGCACTCGCTCGCCGTCGCTCGAGCACCACGCTCTGGAATGAGGAGTCGGTTCATATCTTTCGAGCTCACAGCCCGGTGAGCATCGCTCCCGTTCAAACGACCGCCCGCAGTGCGACGCGCGATGACGACGGAGACGTGCGCGCCCACGCCCGCGTTACTCGCGCTCTTACGCGCCTGCGATGGGTCGATCGAACCGCGATCGCAAGGCGCCGAGGCGCGCGTGTACGACGTTCAACTGAGCGGCGTCGAGTGCGTCGCCAAGCAGCGATTCGCCAAGACGTACAGACTTCGTGAGCTCGACGAGCGTCTGACGCGATCGAGACTGAGCGCGGAGGCGAGAACGATGGTGCGGGCGCGGAAACTAGGCGTCTTAGCGCCGCACGTCGTGCACGTGGACGCGAAGGAGTCGTGCGTGTACATGGAGCGGATTCGCGGCTGCGCGTTAAAGGAGGCGCTGCGGAGCGGAGAGACGACGCGAGAGGACTTGAGGCGGTTCGGTGAGGAGATCGGCGTTGCCGTGGCGAAGTTACACGACGGTGGAATCATTCATGGGGACCTGACGACGAGTAATTTGATGGTGAGGGATGAAGACGGGAGAGTCGTTGTCATCGATTTTGGCCTGAGCTACCCTAGCAAGCTTCCGGAAGACAAGGGCGTGGATCTGTACGTGTTGGAGCGAGCGATCACTGCGGCGCATCCGTCGCAGACGGTGTTATTCGATGATATACTCGCCGCGTACAAGAAGACGTCACAGATGTGGTGCTCGACGTTGAACAGATTCGCCGAGGTTCGCGCCAGAGGTCGGAAGCGCTCGATGGTGGGTTGACGACGCGGAGATCCGAGGACGCACTCGAAGCGATTCGTGTAACATAACGCGCACCGCGGTGCCGTGTACTTTTGTTCGTTCTAAACGCCGCGATTCTCGATCTACGTGCGCCCCACGACGACGTCTCGATGCCACTTGATGCCAACGAACGCCCGCGACGCCTCCCTCTTATCCACACATCTTCATCGCATCGCTTCACACCCCGTCGTTTCACGTCGTCGGCGTCCCTATTTGAGACCTCGAACGACAACGATGACCTCCGTCGCGGCGTTCCAAACCCGTTCTACCGTCGCGCACCGTCAAGCGTCGACGCGCGCGCGCGAGAGACCCGCCGCCGTCTCGCCGTTTTCTCGATCGACGCCGACGTCCGCGCGTCGTCTTCACACGCGCGCGTCGGCGACGCAGGAACCCGCGGCGACGTTGAAGAAGCTGACGAAGGATTGGCAGATTGACTTCTGCTCGCGACCGCTGAGGGACGACCGAGGGAAGAAGGTGTGGGAGCTGTTGGTGACGGATGACGAGCGCTCGTTCGAGCACGCCGAGTACTTTCCGAACAACCGCATCAACTCGGTGGAGCTGGCGCGAGCGCTGGAGCGGGTGATGGCGAGTAAGGGCGAGAAACCTCGGAGGTTTAAGTTTTTCCGGGCGCAGATGCAGACCATCATCACGCGGGCGTGCACGGAGGTGGACGTGGAGGCGCTCGCGAGCAGACGGTGCCAGACGATGACGAATTGGCTGGACGAGCGAGTGGAGAGCGTGTATAAGAAACATCCAGGGTACGACGCGAACGCGCCGCCGCTCATGGCGTTCGAGCCGACGGCGCCGAAGCGTCTGCCAGATGCGTTGCGAGGGGAGTCATGGGCCTTCGTAGCCCTCCCGCTCGTCGGGGTGCGAGAGGAGGCGGAGCAAGTCAAGCGCGGCAAGGTGTTCGGCGCGCTGCTCGACATCGATGAAAACTTGCCGGACGACACCCTGATCCCGGGTATCGCCGTGTACACGTCCCGCGCCGCCGCTCTGCCGGTTGGACCAAGGGTTTAGAGCTCGCGTGCATCTCTGTCGACGCCCAGACGAGCTCCATCGTACTCGAGACTGGAGTCAACGACTCGTGGTCGTACGCCTTTTTCCGCAAGACTCCCGAGCTCACTAAGGAGGCCAAGGAGTGGGAGCAGGTCAAGCGCGCGTGCGGGGGCGTGCACTTCCTGGCGATTCAGACCGACGAAGAGGCCGAGGTCACCGATGGCTTCTGGATCTTAAGAGACGCCCCACCGCCGCAGTACTAAACTTTATTTCGCTTTGATTGTAGTCGCCGTAACCTTTTCATCACTTTGCGCGCCGAGCTGATTAATCAGTGTTAGCAACGCCTCACGTCGCGACGCGCGACGCGCGATGCGCGTCAAACACCTCAAGCGCGTCACGAACTTCATCGTCGCCCATCACCGCGTCGTTGCTGTCGTTATCTACCTCCTCGGCGCGGCGTCGACCCTCATCGTGCTCTCGCTCGCTCGAAACGTCTTCGTCGATGAGAATGCCTTCTTGTTGAACGGTTCGCCCGCAACGTTCGATGAGCACGATGGGAGCGTTGCGAAATCGTACGCCGATGCGTTCCGCGACATTGCGCTGAATTTGACGTCGCCGAGCGACGTTTTCGAGGCGAAGATGCGATGGGTTGTTCATTCCGTGGATGCGCGCGGGTTTGAGAGTTACCTCACGCGCGGCGTCGGCGGCAGCGTCATCGCGCACGCGATCGCTCGGGCGACGCGAGGGAACGGGCGAGAGAGCTTGGTGCTTATGACGACGATCGGTCGGGGTGCGGAGAGCGCGGATGCGGTGACGATCGGGTCGGCGTTGAGAACGTTTGAGCGGCTCGGCAGAGCGGAGTGGTTGGCAAAGGATTTGATTTGGGTGTGCGTCGACGGAAGAGACGGTGAGGAGATCGCGAACGCGATGGCTTGGTTGAAGAAATATCACTCACCGGACGTTCGAGGTGAAGACGAGACGGCATTCGAGCGCGCGGGGACGATCACGCAAGCGTTTGCGTTCGATGCGTCGGGCGGAGACGCGGTGTCGGCGATGCGGGTGAAACTTGAGGGATGGAATGGAGCGTATCCGAATCAGGATATGTTCACCATGTTCAATGAAGTCGTGAAATTGAATCGGGTAATACGTCTACCCGTAACCCTGGAGGAGGAAGAGGAGGGAGGTAACGCGTGGGAGCGTCGGTCCGATCGTGCGAGTGTGGCGAAATCGGCGGCGCGCTTCATGTGGCGCGCCGCCAAGGGTGTTCCCACGGGCGTGCACGCCGCGTTCAAGAAACACTCGATCGATGCGATCTCCATAGAGTCCACGGTTCGTCGAGAAGATCACCACGTCGTTCGCGGTTCGCACGCGTACGTTGTTATCGGGCAGACACTGGAGCTGACACTTCGAGCGTGCAATAATTTGCTCGAGCTCTTGCATCACAGCTGCTTTTATTACATCATGCTCGGTCCGCAGAAATTCCTCGGCATCGCGGAGTACATCGCGCCGCAAGCGCTGATGCTAGTGAGTCTTTTACTCAGCTTGGTGAAGCTAGCGACTTTCGGAGAGGATTCGCGCCATCTTTCGACGGATGTTGAATGGAGAGCGCAGCACAACTGGAGTGTCGCTCTTGCGAGACTTGCTCTGGCGATTGCGATCGGAGCTCTGGTCGGAAAAAGCTGCATCTTGATGAACGCGATAGGATTGAGTCACGAATCCGTCACAGTTGGCGTCTCCGGCGTTGCGATCGTCGCATCGTTCGTATTTTTGCGTTTGACTGAAGTTGACGGAAGAATTGCGGTAAAGAATCGAGCGTTCGGTGACTTTATCCTCGTTTCGCAAGAACAATGGGTTGGAGTTAAGGTAGTGAGCATCGCTTGGGTACTCTTCACGATGAGCGCGTGTACTTTTTTCAATTTTGCCCTCGCGTTACTCGCCACATCTGCGTTGGCTCCGATATGTGTGCTCTGCCATGCTTGTAGCGGTGATCCAGCCGGCCATCGGTCAAGGAGGTGGGCAACGACGATCCTGTGTGCTCTCCCACCGGCGTGGGCGATCATCCTCTCTCATTTCGTTGGATCTCCACCACTGAAATCGTTGGGTTTGCTCGCTGAGCATCATGCGCGATGGCACACGTTCGCGTTGCCCTTGATTTTTGGCATCGCGTTTCCCACAATTCTTCTCTCCTTGTACGTCGCCAACTCGAGTAATGGCAAAATAAAATCATCATAGGTGAATATGTAAATTGTGGTTTAGATGACTAGAGATGATGTTGAAAACGACTAGCGCGCGGGAGAAGTGCCGACGTCGATAGGCGTCGCCACCTCACTCGCCACCGGAGCGAATTTCGTTTCGCGCTTCGCATCCACAAGCGCCTCGAAGAATCGCATGACCACGGCGTCGGGCCAAGGTGCCCCAAACGGCGCCTCGGGACCGGCTTCCCAAGCCAGGTGTCCGCCAGTCTCGGTTTCAAGTAAAATAATGTGCTCGTTGTTCTCGATCGCCTTGCGCGGGATAGAATCCGCGACGGCTATGGGATCGTCAAGCGCCTGCACCGCCATCAGCGGGACGCGCACGTCTGCGATGCGATTCTTACTCCCGGAGTACTCGTAATACGCGTCGACGGAGGGGAAACCGAACGTCACGCGTGTGATGGCTTCATCGAAATCTCTCACCGTTTTCGCAGCCTTGACGAGCTCCGGTTTATAGTTGGGCAAGCCCGCGAAAAGGTTCTCGTGCGGCGCGAAGAGCTTTCGCATGTTGCTCGCCATTGCTCTGCTATAAATTTTCCCAAAGAATCCGCTCTCCAGCGCGGTATCGCACTTGTTCAGATCGAACGGGTTACACAGCGCCGCCGCACCATCGAGCTTGGCATTCTCCCCCTCCTCGCCGAGGAAGTTGGTCAGGATGTTCGCCCCCAGCGACCATCCGATTGCAAAGAGCGGCGCGTTTGGAAAGCGCTCGTGAAGCGTACTGACAACGTGCCTGATGTCTCCCGTGTACGACGCGCTGTAAAACTGCGGCGTCGTCAGCGGCGACTCGGAGGTACCGCGACAGTTGAACGCCACACATCTGAACCCCCTCGCCCGAGCGCGCTTCAAAAAGTGCTTCAAATACTTGTCGTGCGACCCGCCCGCGATGCCCGACATGAGCACCAACACGGGCGCATCCGCGGCGATCCCCGCCTGGTGCGCCGCCAAGCGCCGACGAACGAGCGCGCTCTGATCAAACACTCGATTCACGTACGGAGGTCCTCTTCGCTCAATCTCGCACGCATCGCCCTCGACGCCCGAATCAAACGCCTCGTCTTCGACGTCCCCGTCCACGCTCAGCGGCCAGTCCAGCGTCGCGTGTCCCCCGTCGGGCATCGTCACCACCTCCCGCTGATACTTCACGTCCAAATCTCGCCGCAACAACGAGCTCAATATCGTACTCACGTGTCGATTCGTCAGCCACGACACCGCGTCGTACCCTCTATTCAAGAGTTCCGCGCACGCGTCCAGCGCCGCCGTCGCCGCCGCGCTCCGTCCCGCCCCCGTCACCCGCACCTCGCTCCTCGTTCGCGTCCGCGTCATCACCACCATCGCGGCGTACCACGCGCCGGCGACGACGGCGACGCCGAACGCGCCCTGGGCCCCACCGAGCGCCCGCGTCGCCGTCGTCGTTCGCCGCCCCATCGTGGACGCCATCGCCTGAAATCCACCGCGTGCGTCCGCGTGCGTCCCGAGCCCGCGCGCGCGCGATCGACCACGGACGCGCGCGAAAGCGATCGCGCGCGACGCCTCGACGGGGCGCATCGACGCGCGCGCGCGCGACGAGTGCGGCGTCGACGCGCGCGCGCGTCGCGTGTGTGTGGTCACACATGGGCGTATACACACCTCAATACGTAGACGACGGCCGACCCGTCGACGACTCGTCCGTATATAGGTGTACATCGTCCACAGTATGGAGACGTCCCGGTCACGCGCGCGCACGATCGCGTCGACGCGTCGCACCGCTTCGCGCGCGCGAACGGCGGCGACGGGCGACGCGCGGACGATGACGGATGGAAGTAAACGCGCGCGAGGGTCGAGCGCGAGCGCGAGACGGCGCTCGGGGACGGAGGACGCGGAGAAGACGACGGAAAGACGCGACGCCGTGATGGCGGATCGCGCGGGGGAGGCGGACGACGTGACGCGCGACGCGGGCGCGGACGACGCGGCGGCGAACGGGGCGCGCGGTGGTGATGATGTCGATGCGTTGATCGCCGCCGCGGGGGTGGACGCGACGGGCGGGCGCGGTGCGGGGGATGATGGGAGCGACGAGGGCGTCGCGCGAGGGGAGAAGCGCGCGCGCGGGGCGAGCGAGGACGGCGAGGATGACGACGACGACGGTGAGGACGGCGAGCGAGGGAGTGGATTGGAGGAGTTCGATGATGTGCTTCTCTTACCGCGTCGCACGAAGGTTGTGATCAGTGGGAATAATCGAACGAAGGGAAAGCTCGTCGGAATGCGAGCCGTGGTGAAGAAGGCTGTCGGGTTGGGCGGTTGGCACTGGCTCGTGCTCGACAACGGGCAGGAGGTGCGACTGCAGAGGAACGCCTTGACCGTGGTCGAGGCACCGGAAAGTCAAGACGGCGACGGTGAGGACGCCGATGACGGCGAGGGCGACGGCGAGGACATAGAGAACGGCGAGGATGGCGAGGAGGAGGAGGAGGACGGCGACGACGACGAGGACGACGACGACGACGACGACGATGACAGCAAGGATAACATGAAGACGCGTCTCCGTCGACCAACGCGTATACCTGGAAACGGTCCGCCGAGCCAAGCCGCCGCGGCGGCGATGAAGCGGTTGCAAGAGCGCCGAAGAAGCGCGCGCCCGAACTGCATGTCGAATTTCGAACGCCTCACGCTGACGACGCTGCTCAAATACAAAAAGATGTACGGCCTCGAGCCAAACGCGGAGACGGACTCGGATAAGACCGCCCTCACGCACGAGATCGCCAAGCACTTCATGTCGCAAAAGTTGGACGAGCAAAAAGTTCTTCAGGACTTCATGTGCGCGGTGGCGGACACCACTCAGGTTCGCCCTGTGGGGTGATTCTCAGTCTTTCTTTCGCTAGCAAAAGTCATGTTACAAACCAAGCTAACATCATCAATCAACTCGGTCGTGCCTATCTAAACTAAATCGCAAAGTCCGCGGGAACGACCCCGGTCTTCAGGGCGTTCTCGAGGCGCGCGATTTCTTCAAGCGTCTCCGCTTGAGCGATTTTTGCCTTCAATGCGAGCAACTGTTCGGGCGATGGACCGCTCGGCTTGGCCTCCTCTTCCGGCTCCTTCTCCTTCGCGTCGTCCAGACCATCTCCTGGGGTGAACGTCTTCGCCCGCGCCGCCGCGCCGTCGTCCTTCCCGAACATTTTTTCCGCCAACTCGCGCTCCGCCGCCTTCACCTTGCAAAAGTCCAACGTCTTCAGCGCCTTGCACTTATAAATCACGTACAGCCTGTAATTTTCCTTCGCGCACACCGGGTTCCCGCTCAAGCTAAGATGCGTCAACTTCTTGATCGCCCCCAACTCGTCCAAATCACCCAGATTCCGCAACGAATTATTCATCAGCGTCAGGTTCCGCAGCCGCGGCGCCGCCCGCCCGAGTTCCTCCCCCCGCACCCGAGCGATCCTGTTATCACCGAGCATCAGCGTCTGCATCCGCTTCATCGGTGGAAAATTCTCCACCCGCACGATCTCGTTCCCCGTCATGTCGTAACAATCGTACTGATCGCGCGCGACGGAGAGATTTTCAATCGCCGCGATCTTCATCCCTCGCACGTCCAGTTCGTATTCCCCACACGGGTTATACCCACGCCGCGCGTTCGCGATCGTCTCCGCGAGCGCCCGTCCACCGACACCGCGCGCGTTCGTCGTCGTCGTCCACGCGTCGTCCATCCCACGCGTCCACCGCGCGCGCGCGCCGTGCCGTCGTCGCGTCGCCGTCGCGTGGGATCCCTCGGACAAAGGTCCACATCGCACGCCCACGAGACCGAGACCGCGGTCGCACCGGTGGGCGATCGATCGATCGATCGGTGGTCGATCGATCGACGCGTGGTCGGTCGGTCGGTCGATCGACCGGTGGCGTCGACCGGTGCGTGCTCGAACGATCGCGTCGGCATCGGCGGGCGATGCGTCGATCGTTCCTCGAGCGCGCGCGACGGGTGGAGGACGCGGACGGGTCGGTGGACGGCGGCGACGCCGAGGGTGCCGACGCATGGACGCGCGAAGGGGCGAACGGGCCTGGGGTGGACGATGCTTGGATGGATGGGACGGCGGGCGCGGGGACGTTCGTGCGGGAGCTTCCGGGGGCGTCGAGCTCGCTCGAGGCGGCGGTGGTGCGAGCGATGGGGGAGGTGTCTTTGGGTAGGGTTTTTGAACGCGCTGGGGTGAAGACGCTGACGCGGGAGACCCGGGGGGGGGTGATGGCGATCGACGAGAATGCGGTGCGCGCGGCGACGGACGCGGCGACGGACGCGGCGATGGAGGCGAAGACGCGGGCGTTGGCGTCGCACGCGGCGAGCGGGGGGTGGAGAGGAACCGCGACGGAGGATAGCGCGCAGGGCGCTTTTCAGCGGGCGGTTTTCGCGAAGAAATTACACGAAAAGATTGTCGCGGCGGTGACGCTGGAGGTGCGCAGACGGGCGGAGAGCGAGCTGCGGAGCGCGAGGAGACGAGCGCAAGAGATGGACCTCGCGGGGCGACATGAGGCGCGAGAACGATTGGATAAGCAGCGTCAGGTCCCGCATGAGCCTTGGTTTTTGATGGAGACGCCGAAGGAGGAGCAACAGAGGCTACGAAAGCACGCGGCGTTGGAGGCGGCGGCGTTGGAGGCGGGCTCCGAGGTGCCGCCGCCGCCGCTACCGGCGAACGTGCACGTGGAGGCGGTTCCGGATCCCACCGACGAGTCCGTCACCGGTGTGGTTAAGTTTTGCTTTTACGCGGTGCGCTCGCATCCACGACCGATTCAAAAGGTGCTCGATTACCTCTTCGGGTACTCCCCGGCGGTGGACGGCGAGGACTTGGAGGACATCGCGGCGTACGCGCAGGGACTTCCCGTGTCCAGGGGGAAGACGCCGAGGGAGTTGGCGGTGACGTACGCGACGAATCTTGATAAAATATTAGGAGAGCGGGACAAGGTGGTGCTCAAGGGTTTAATCAAGAACGTGCGAGACGAGTGGGCGACGCACATCAAGGCTGGCCAAGACGCGGTGCAACAGCTCGAGTCCACGCCGCTTGACTCTGCGCAAGATATCAGTGAGCAAAATCGAGACAGTTGGCTCCGCGCAATGTTTCCCACGCTTGATTGGCCCGCCCAAGACCGTCGAAATCGCAGATTCGTCGAGGGTCTCGGACAGAACCTCGAGGTGACGAGGACTATCACGACTTCGAGGCCGGTGCCGCTCGCCATCGCGCGCGCGGCGGTCGCCAAACGCGACGTCACAGATCCACACCGAAAGACCGAAGAGGTGGAGGTGGATGGGAGAATTGTCCGTCACGCCGCAGACGGCGTCCCCATCGTCGCTCCAGAGGGTTTCTTCCCGAGTTCGGCGTCCATCCAAGCTCGCAAAGCAGAGGCCAAAAAATTCCGAGCCGCCGCGCAAGCCGCCGAGGATAAACTCGCCGCCCGCCGACGCGGATGATATGTACACTACGTTGTAATCGGCAAATTCGAAAACGCAGCCGCATCGTCGTCCGAATCCGAACTCCCCCTCGACAGTCTTACTCGCCTCACTCGCGCGCTCGCGGGCATCGTGGAGATGATTTACTTTGAGACTCAATCCGAGCGTCTCTGCGGCGTTCACGCCCTAAACGCCTTGCTCCAACACGGCGCCTTCGCCCCGGGTGACTTAGCCGAGATCGCCCAGGCCCTCGACGCTAAGGAGCGCGTCTTACTGAGCGAAGAAGTCGCAACGACCTCGTCGAGAGCGAACGAGCAATCAGAGAACGTCTCGCGCGACGGAAACTTCAGCGTCCAGGTCTTAGAGAGCGCTCTGTCGATTTACGGACTCGTCATGCGCCCGATCACGTCGCCGAAGGAGCGTGAGATGCGGCCGGACTTGGAGAGAGGATTTTTGTGCAACCTGTCCGAGCACTGGTTCGCCTTGCGAAGAGTGGACTCGACGTGGTGGGATCTGAACTCGATCAAGAGGGCGCCGAGGAAGATTGGGGAGTTTTATCTCGAGGCGTTCCTCGATCAGCTCAAGGGCGAGGGCTGGTCGGTGTTCGTGGTGAGAGATTTGGAGGGCGTGCCGATAACGGACGAGCAGCGAGGGTCGACGACGACATACGGAAAGTGGTTCACGGAGGAGGAAGCGATTGCGTTGAGTGCCGAGGCGGACGCGGCGCAGGCTTCAGGGCGAACGAGGCTGGCGGCGGAGAAGGCGTTGCGGGCGATTGGAGAGGGGGCGAAGACGTTGGTCGTGCCGGATGTCGTGGACGTCACCGGCGAAGACGATCCCGAGTTAAAAGCCGCGCTCGAGGCGAGCATGAACGATCACAGGCAACGGAATGTAGATATCACCACCAACGACGCCGATGCTGATCTTGACGCAGCTATAGCGGCGAGCTTGGCGGACGCGGGCGCTGGTTTCAATGACTCTGGAGACGCATTGGAACGCGCGATTGCAGCAAGCTTAGAAAACGTGGACCGAGTAGACGCGGCCACGGAAGCGGCGATCGCGGCAAGTTTGGCAGAAGATCGCACCAGCACTAAACGAAGTTTTGAGGAAGATACAACGCCGATAGAGGACGAGCCGGATGTTGGCGAAGGCGTAGTATTGCTCGCATTTCGGCTCCCAAGTGGCGATCGAATGACGCGACGATTCGTCGATTCGGCCACTGTCTCCGATCTCGAGCGATTCATCAAAGCCAAGGCGCTCGTAGATGTCACCGTGAACTGCCTCGCCGTCGCGTTTCCTCCACGTGCTCTCTCTGACGCTTCGATGTCGCTCGCCGAAGCCGGCATTGCCGATAAGGATGTCCTGACCGTCAGACCGCGATGACGTCGCTCTCGATTTGAACTTTAATCATTCGTTTCATCTCATCCCTTTATTTTCGTCCCTCGCTTCGTCCCCTCACTCATCGCATTCTTGTCTCGCTCGACGCCCACCTTGTCCTCACAGCGTGAAGCGCGCTGGTCATGGGCGCTTCCGCCTTCACCGCCGCCTTCGGTGCCGTCTCCGGGATCGGCATCGCCGCCTTCGCCAACGGTCTCAGAAAAGTTCCCGCCTTTGCCCGTGCGTCGTTGACCGTCGTTCAGCGCGTTTTCATCTTTTGCGAGCGATCACACTAGGGTTGCTCGCTCTCGCGTCGCTCGCGTCGCCGTCAAGCGCGATCGTGACGAAAACACCGCTCGAGACTGACCGTTGAGACCTTTTCTTCGATGCGCAGAGCCGTGGAAGCACGTCGCGGCGGCGGGCGTGGGTGCAGCTGCGTTGGTGTGGAGCGCGGATGTCGAGGATACGCTGCGTGCGGACGTGGAGGGACTTCGAGCTGAGCGCCGCGAGCGCAACGCCGAGTACATGGCGGACGTGCGATCGAAGCGATGATTAAGCGATGAATCGTGGATCGATCGGCACGATGCGAAACTGCACTGTAATATATGTTACACACACTTCACACTTGAAAATTTCGCGAGCGAGCAGTGTCGTTAAATATTCTAAATATTCTGGATGTTTCAACCGTTCGTTGACGAGACGGTGAAGTTGCTGTACAGCGCACTTTTGTATACAGATAACGGGAGCAAACGGCTCCTGGAAGTTCCAAGTTCGACTCGAGCTGTACAGGGCACTGCTCTACACTCCAGCCAACTCGTAGAGACATATCTCCGATTGGCTGTGTCGCGTTTGGCCCAAGCCTCTTCGCAGTCCGTTCAAGACGTGTGGTTCCAATTTTTCTATGCCTTTATCGCGCGACTCGATCGTAGATACCGTATCCAAACGATTCATCGCGTACTCGTCTATCGACGTCGCAGAATCATCCGAGCTTCTGCCGAAAGCTCGCCTGGACCACTTCACTGAGTCGTCCGCAAATATCGAGCGCTTTTCGGTTGAAGCACTATCGACCATCGCCGAGAGGTCTGGACAACTTTGATAAGATTTAATCACCGCCCGTTTTTCTTCAGGACTGACCTTAACGAATCGACCCTTCACTCGAACTCGAGCGTTCGCGAGCTTCTGCCGGCCATCGTAGCGGACAGTCTGCTTATTCAAACCGAGCAGACGGCGCTCGCGCTTGGCCCGGTATCTATCCAGCTGTGCCTGTCGCTCCTTGCTCACCACTCGTTTTGGCACGCCGTGGAAGAAATCTCCCGGAACCTGTACCTTTGGATTCTGCGGAATGTTGGCGCAACCGGCGTACTGTAATGCAGGCGTTCCCTGTCCGAGGGGTGACGGTTTCGGCGCGAAATGATCCCTTGCGTGCGCTCGAGTGAACGCTAGATTCAGTTCACCTCCATCGTCGCCACCATCCGTTCGGTTCTCTCCTCTGGACTCGCTGTAAACGGTGTTCAATGCCGCGGAGATGGACGCGACGTCGGCCTGGTGAAACGAAAACTCTGAGACGTCCCTAGCGTCCATGTCCAGCAATGAACCGAGCGGATCGTCCTGTAATATCGTATCGCTGTTGCTTGAATCCCTCGGATTCCGTGGTTCGAGATTCACCCGTCTCCCATGCTCGAGCTCGTCGAGATTTAAAAATTCAGCCACATCCCACTCGTCGGCGTGCACGCTGTTCACCGAGTCTCCCTTCGTCCGTCTCACGTACGACATCTCAACGTCACGATCGAACGACCGCCTTTGTTCGTAACGCGCCGTGTCGCTCCCGGCGGAGTTCCTCTCGTGCGCGTTACCGTCCGTGTCCTCGCGCTCCTCGATCGGTACCCTCTTGTGTCTCGCCGCGACCTGCGCGTTCGCCTCGACGTCAGTCTTCGTTCGCGCGCAGTAATGCCTTTCATCACGTGCACCCGTCTCGTCACCGTTCGCGCGCGCGCGCCGCGTCCTCGATTTCCAACCACCGCCGGTTCGTTAGGCCCACGCACGCCCTCCGGCACGCACCGAATTCGCCGAGTGCACGCTCGCATCGCACGCCGCGCACAGCGCGCAGTCTGCTCGATCGAACGCGCGCGCGATATCAGTCCCCGAGTTTTCACCGCTCGCGCACCCCCAGCGACGCCTCGCGCGCGTCGCCCGTTCCCCCCGCGCGCGCCCGATTCGCGCGCGCGCATTTCCACGTCAGCGCGACGCCGATCGCCCGTCGCGCGCGCCCGTCGCGCGTTTCCCGCCCACGACGCCCGCGGCCGATGTCACGATTTACCCACCATCCGCGGCGCAGTACACCGTCGCGCGACGACGCGCGCACGCCGCGCACGTCGTCCCCATCCGTCGTCGCCGCGATATCTCGCGGTGCGCCGGTGTCGCCGTCGGGGCGTCGGGATATGTCATTCGGCGAGTCGTGACTCGTGTAGAGGGACTCGCGCGCGCGCGCGAGCCGACATCGCGCGCGCTCGAGGCGCCAACGCGCGACGCGGTCTCGGTCTCGATCTCGGCGTCGACGATGTCCACGGCGCGGGCGTGGACGCGCGCGCGGGCGCCCGCGGGGACGGGCTCGGGCGCGAGACGGTGGACGTCGCGGCGGATGAAGCGCGACGACGCGTCGATGACGTCGCGAAGGAATCAGAATCATCGCGCGCGCGCGTCGGTGGATCCGGGGATCGATGTGATGATCGCCGGACGCGAACGGAAGTACTACATGGTTGGAGGAAAGGGTGGGGTCGGGAAGACGTCGCTGTCGTCCTCGCTCGCGGTGAAGTTCGCGGCGAGCGGGCACAAGACGCTGGTGGTGAGCACGGATCCGGCGCACTCGTTGAGTGATTCTCTGGCGCAGAACGTCAAGGGGGGGCAACCGATCGAGGTGAACGATACGGATGGGATGCTGTACGCGCTGGAGATCGATCCGGAGAGCGCCAAGGCGGAGTTCACGCAGTTTGCGCAAAAGACGGACATGTCGGCGGGCGCGAGAGACTTCATGAGTTCCGTCGGGTTAGGAGGGTTCGCGGACTCCATCGCGGATTTAAAGCTCGGTGAGCTCTTGGACACGCCGCCTCCTGGTTTGGACGAGGCGATCGCGATCGCGAAGGTGTTACAGTTCACGAAGGATGAAAAATTTAGTAAATTCACGCGCATCGTGTTCGATACGGCGCCGACCGGGCACACTCTGAGGTTGCTGTCGCTTCCGGATTTCTTAGACGCGTCGATCGGGAAGATTGTTCGATTGAGACAAAAGCTCACGAGCGCCACAGACGCGGTGAAGGGGATCTTTGGCGTGGGTGAGGATAAACAGGACGACGCAGTGGAGAAGCTTGAAAAGCTCAAGGCGCAGGTCAAGGAGGTTCGATCGCTGTTTCGAAACAAGGAAACGACGGAATTCATAATCGTCACCATTCCCACGGTTTTAGGGGTGAGCGAGTCGGGGAGGTTGCTCCAGAGCTTACGCGATGAAGATGTGCCGTGCACGCGACTGATCGTCAATCAGGTGCTCAAGGTGAATGTGGACGATTTTAAAGCCGCCGCAGCGGAGGCGCGCGACGCGCAGGACGTGCTCACTGCGAGATTATCCGGCGACGACGCCGAGGCGGCGCAAAAATTCGTCGATGCCAACGCCAGAGCTCTGCGAGCGGCGCAGGCGGCGGTCAACTTTTGCAGCATCAAGGAGAAGGACCAGTCGCGCGCGCTCCAAATGTGCGACGAAGACGCCGGCTTGCGTTCGCTCAATCGAACCGAGGCCCCGCTCTTCGACATGGAGATTCGTGGTGTACCCGCGCTTAAATTTTTCGGTGATCAGGTCTGGCGCTGATCGCCGCGCCCATAGCCTCGTGCGTGCTCGTTTTCAATGTAACCTCGCCGAACACGCCCGCCTCCGCCTCGCGAGTCCACATTCCACGTCGTCCACGATCATTCGCCATGAATCAGGCAGACGTGGACAAACAAATCAACCAGGTACGCCTCCCGTCGCCTCACACGCGTCCTCGGTCGCGTTCGTTCGACCGGAGAGCGCCACCGGAGGTGTTTCCACGAAGATTCGGTCGATCCAAAGTTTTCATTCGAGATTGAGTCCTCGTTTCGTCGCGCGACGCGCGCGCCGTTTCCGTCGCGTCGCGACCTCGGACTGACCGCATCGTTCCTTACCCCGTGTGATTTTACCACCGTCACAGATGGTGCAGTTCATCAAGCAAGAGGCGAGCGAGAAGGCGCGCGAGATCGCCATCGCGGCTGAGGAAGAGTTCAACATTGAAAAGCTCGCGTTGGTGGACGGAGAAAAAGTGAAGATCGCGAAGGAATACGAGCGAAAGGAGACGACGGTGGATACGGCGAAGAAGATCGAGGCGTCAACGTCGAGGAACGCGATGCGCTTGAGAGTTTTGGCGGCGAGGGAGGAGGCGATGGAGACGGTGCTGGAGGATGCTCGAAGACGCCTCGGAGAGGTGAGCGGGGACGCCAGGCGATACAAGGATTTGTTGCGAGCGTTGATCGTACAGGGGGCGAAAAAATTGGGCGATAAAAATGTGATCGTGCGATGTCGGGAGAGCGACGCGGCGGTGGTGCGCGAGTCGACCGTCGCCGCGGCGGCGGAGTTGGTGGGCGTGTCGGTGACGCTTGACGAATCGACGAGACTTCCCGCTGCGCCCGCGTGCTCGGGCGGCGTCGAAGTTGCGAATTCCACGGGACAAATCGTGTGTGACAACACCCTGGATGCTCGTCTGCGCATCGCGTACGAGCAGAACACGCCTTTGATTCGCGAGAAGATGTTCGGCGGCTCGGTCGCCTCCAAGGCGCCCGTCGCGCCTCCGCCCGCGACGAGCAACGATTCCGCCAACCTCATCTCACTCTGAGCAACCATTCTTTCAACCTAGCGATCCTAACACCTTTTATTACACGATTACATCATCTCTCACGTCCTCACGTCCTCCCCACGCCGAACGTAGACGGCGGTTTCGCCATGCGTCCGCTCGCCGTCGTCCGCACCGCGTCCGCCTCCGCCTGCAGTTCTCCGACCACCTGCGACGACACGCTCGAGACGCTGAACAACCGCTCCTCCGTCTTGAAAGGCTTCGTCTTCCTCTGTTGATGCTGCTTCCCTTGCGCGAGCGCTTGTTCGAAACCTCTCAGCACGTTCCCGCCCGAGCTGTGATCGGTCAACAATGAAGTTTCTAAATCGTACACCTGACGCTCGATCTCGGCCTCGTCCGCCTCGAGCTTGGCTCTGCGTTGTTTTAGATGGGTCAACGCGGCGGACGTTGGGGTCGACATGCAGCGTGAATCGTCGCGCGACGCGGCGTGGGGTGAAGTGACGGATGGTGAAGAAAGAAATGCTGTTCGTATGGAGAGACGCGCGTCGACGCGAACAATGAATTGCTGAGACTAGTCAAGAGAGAGGTGCGGGTGGGTGAGAAGGACGCCCACGAGTGCTTCGTGGTAATCTGCGCTCGCGAAGGAGTTCTTGAGACGCTCTGGGAGCGCGGAGTTTAATGCGCGCTGAGCGCGAACGATGGCTGGGCCGACGGGCGGCGGGAGCGTAGGGCCGACGCGCGCTGGGTCGGAGAACCCAAGAGCCTGGCGAAGGGCGAGGTTCTCAGCCTGCTCGCGAGCGTGACGCTCGATCATGTCGTCTGGGTGCTCGATGGGGAACACGCAGTCGGCGTGGTCGTTTTCAAAGTCGGCGGTGACGAAGACAGCATTCGGAATTTGTGTGTCTCGTACGCACACCAATCCGTCCGAGAGCTCGCCATAGCGACTCAAGACGTAGCTCGCGGACGGGAACAGACCAGCCGCAGCGCTCTTCGTCGCCGTCGCGAATGTGACGACGGGAAATACCTTTGGAATCGGGTGTTTTGCGAGGAACAATCGACGTTCTGCGTACGTCAAGTCTCGGATTGGTTCGATCAATTTCGCACCCGTACCCTTCGGAGCGCTGACGAATGTCTCCAACACTGTTGTAAATGACTCTATGAGCGGCTCACAGAGTAAATCTGTGGCTATCGGCGATCCCCCAAAAGGGCTCTGCATGCAGATGAGACCGCGGACAAAGTCCTCGAGTTTGTGCAGCGCGAGCGCCGCACCCGCGTCGACACCACCCTTGCTGTGACCGATCACGATAACCCTCTTCCCAGTCTCGTCGTACACATCTTTGATCTCCCGTGCCAAAGCCGCGGCGTTCGACTCGACTCGACCTTCGCCATCGACCAAGCGAGAGATCCTACAATCCACGCCTCTGTCGCGGAACACGTCTCGAACGTCTGTATAGTACGCGGGGTAATAACTTCCGAAAAGCCCTGGCACGAGCAAGTACGCGTAGTCATCGCTCAACAATCGTTTGCCGTTTACGACGTCACGCAGACGCGCGTCGAACGCGTCCCCACCGTCCACGGCTGTCTCCGCTGCCTCCGCCGCTAACCACCCAATGTCCCCGCGACTCGCCGCCGTGCTCGCGAGCGCGCTCTGTGCTCGTCTCACCACCTCCACCGGCACCTCCGACCACTCTTTTCTCGCTTCCACGAACGCCATCGCCGCCTCTCGCGCCGCCGCCGCTCGCCGCTTTGTATCGCCCGCCGCTCGATCCAACCACGCCGCCGCCGCGTTCGCCTCCAGCGCGCTCGTCGCCCTCCGAAGCGCTCCCAGCGCCTTCTCCAGCGACGCCGCGTCCACAAAAGCCGATGGGTTCACGAACGGTAACGATCGCACTCCCGTATCCTCGGATTCGTCGATCAAAGCGTCGTCGTCGAAGGAAACATCTTCGGACTCTTCCGTCTCTGGTGCAAAAGAATCTTTTGTTTCGTCGAGCGCAGCGCATCGCGTGACGCGTTCGCGCGCGCGCGATCGCGACGAGCTTGGACGACGCGTTCGTTGAGATGACGCGCGCTTGAGCGCGCTCGCGATCGACGCGCGCATGGCGCTGAAGAGTGAGGTGGTTGGTTGATTTCTTCAACTGTTTTGTTTTACACATTGTGTCAGGCGCCGAGAGCGACGGCGACGCGGGCGATGGTCGTCGCGGTTCCGTCGTCGGTTTGGTCCGAAGCCTTGGTGGCGGCGACAAGTGCGCGCGTGATTTCGCGTAGAGAGTCCACGGAGGGCGGTGCACGACCGGTGGACGCGCCGAGGGCGTCGACAATGGCAGCGAGCGAACCCGCGCACGCCGCAGGATGGAAGAGTTGCAGACGAACGAACGGCGCAATGTGTGCGGCGATGACGCCATCGAACACGATTCGGTCGAGTGCGTCGCGTTCGACCACACCGTCGAACGCGAGCGCGCTCTTGATTACGTCAACAGCGAGACGGAACCGAGACTCAGCATGACGCGCCGCGTCCGGAGCGCACGCGGTGACTGCTGGTGCGTATGTGGGAATCGTGCATGCCTCCGCGCACTGCTTGAGACGACGTCGGACGGCGATGACGACCTCTCGCGCCTCTTCGCAAGAGTTTGGCTCGACGTAGACAAGAACGTCACGAAGCGTGGACGCCAACGCTCGAGACTGCGCGGGATCTCTTGGCTCCCACCACTGTTCCACGGCGTCGGAAACAATGGGCAACACGAGGTGCTCGACAATCTTCGGAAGCAAATTCGCATCCTCGTCGCCCTCGTCGAAGGAACCATCAACCATGCCATAGTCGAAGAGTTGAGCGTACCACGACATGGAGTCCAGCGAGGCGGGCGCCTTTGCGTCTGCCGGCGGGAACAGCGGAGACCACGCGATGAGCTCTAAGCGCACGAATGGTGCGAAAAGGTGTGGTACGGAAGCCGACATGTACGTACTCTTGTATGAAGCCAAGTGTGTGCGCTTCCAATCCTCTGCATGCTTCTTCACGGCGGTCAACGTGGAGAGATCGTCTGAGGCATCCTTGAACATCGCAAGTGCGGCGTCTTGCGCTTCCGACCAATCTTTGTGAAACAGCTCCACTTCGCGCTCGTCTTCAACCACGCGCACGGCCTCGCTCGACGACTGACGCCGCTTCGACCGCGCCTCTGCTTTTTCTCTCATGAGCATGTTCACGTCTCTGCCCATATCATCCAGTTTCTCTTCCACCAGCCCCTTCAGCACTGCGTCCTGAACCGCCGTCGAAGCCGCTATCTTGGCGTCGCTCTGAGATCCTCCTCGCTGAAACACCGCGTGCGCCGCCTCGGCCGCCGCCTCGGCCTCAATGGTGCTCTCTTCGAACTCATCATTCATCGCCTGCGTCAACGCCCGAGCTCTCGCCACGTGAAACTTGCTGTAATGTTCCATCAACTCTTCCACAATGAGCTTCTTGTCCTGCATCATTGCACACGCGTCTTTGAAATAATCTCGCAACTTTTGCGCGTACACATACCGTTCTCCCGCGCTCTTGAGTTCTTTTTCATAAAATGCCAAAGCACTCTGACTCTTCGCCGCGTTTTCATCTGCGCGCGTCGCCTCCTTCCTCGCCGTCTCGCTTGTTGACACTGAAGCCTCGAGCGCGCGTTTCAGGCTCTCAAACGCTTCGAGTCCGGCCTTCTCGATGGACACGTTGGCTTCTTTGCGCTTCATCGTATCGCGCGCCACGCTCTGCGCGCTCTTTCGCATCTCCGGCTCATCCCTGAACACGCGGCGCAACTGCGCACGCTCGAACTCCTCGTCGTCCTCACCCTCGACGACAGAGTCGATTGACGGTTTCTCCGCGCGCGTTCCATCCCGTCCCCGACCGTCGCCCAAATCGATGTAATCCGCTCCCTCTCGTCCTGCCATCGCGCGTCTCGCCGCCTCTCGCTTCGATTTTACCTCCGCGATCGTCTTCGCGTCCGGGATCCCCGAATTACCATCGTCCTCGTCCCTCGGCGGCGCCCGCGGCGTCCACGCCTCCTTCGCCTCCGCCTCTCGCACCGCCTCCGCCTCCTTCGCGCGCTGCGCCGCCGCGAGCGCCCTCAACGATTCCACGTCATATGTCCTCACTGTTTCTCTCTCCACCTCCCTCACTCGCGGCGCCGGCGCCGCGATCGACCGTTTCTTCTTCGTCTTCGCCTTTGCCGCCTCCGCCGCCGCCTCCGCGCCACCGCCGTCGTCCTCGAACGATAACAAAGACGCCCGAGCGCCCGCGACGCGGTTCTTTCCCGACGCAAACGACGCGCCCTTCGTCGTCGCTCTCTCGTCGAGCTCGCGCGCGTCCCGCTCGTCGGTTTTCTCCATCTTTTCACCACCGACGGAATCATCTTCAACGCGCTTCCGCGCCCCCGACGCCGCGCCGCTCGGTCGTTTACGCGGCGCGAACGGCATGACGCGATCGACGCGCTCGTTCGCGCGTCCGCGTCGACGCTCGACGCCCGCGTCGTCGTCTGCGGCAGATTCGTGCCACTGCATCGATTTCTCACGCATCGCGTCGACACACGGCGACGCCGAGCCCGGCGTGCCTCGCGCGCGTCGCGTCCGTCGTCCTCGCGCGCGTCCGTCGTCCTCGCGCGCGATGGAGACGTCGAGGGACGGCGCGGCGTCGAGCGCACCGCGTCGACTCGGAGCGTTTGAAAGTTTGCGCGAAAGTGCGAGTCGGACGACGACGACGACGACGACGACGATCGCGACGCTCCGAGCGATGTCTCGGAGCGATGCGTCGACGTCGGAGCGACTGGAGGGCGCGCGAGGGCTCGGGAAGGTGTTTTCGAGGTGTCGGTGCGACGCGGAGACGTGGCTGGCGTTGCTCGCGAGCGTCGAGCGGGCGCCGAAGGAATCGAGCGCGGTGTTGAAGACGGCGTCGCCGAACGCTCGCGTGGGGGAAGGGATGCGGGATTGGATATTGAGCGTCGGCGACGCGCTCATGAGAGCGGCGAAGGGGAGCGAAGAGAGAACGCGGGAACTGTTTGGGATGATTGATGAACGTTTGGACGGCGGCGCGGGCGAGCGCGTGGTCGGTCTCACCCTGCTCGATGCCGCGCTCGGAAGCGAGGCGTGCTCGATGACGAACGATGACATCGTATTGGCGGTGCATAAGGCACTGACATCGGTGAGCACGGCGCCTGTTGAGAATGGATTCGCGTGCGCAAGCGTTGGCATGCGCGCGGTGTGCGCGGCGGCGAGACATTTGCGCGTTGACGACGTTCGCACGCTTCGAACGGCGTGGCTCGAACCGAGGTTGAACGCACAGGGATTCACGTGGAGCGATTCCGACAATGTTCGTTCGACGCTTTCGCTGATCGAGTACTTGAAAATTCCGAGAGACGAGCGTCTTGGCGCGACGACAATGTCGGCGTTTCTCATGGCAGATTTAGAGCTCGTCGGGTATGTCGACGGTGAGGAGTTTAAGCGGAAAGTCATTCACGGCGCAGTAGACCTAGATAGTGCGGACTTTCAAGCCCTCGACGGGAGCGAGCGATCGGTCGGGAAGACGGTTGCGGCCGCCGTGATTGCCACGCAGATGAATCTGATGCACGCCCTGTACGTCGCCCCCGGATTGGAGGTCGGTGCAGATGACTTGCAAGTGCGCGTGGCGCGAGAGAGCGGGAGAATTCTGTGCGGTAAGTCGATCGAACTTCTCAGAATCGAGCGAGAAAACGCAGCGAAGAGGGCGGAAAACGCGCAAGTGAAGGTTGAGGAGTTGACAGCGGATGTCAACTCGAGCACGATTCTCGGAGTGTTGAATCACGCACTCACAGCTGAGTCGATGAAGATCGAGGAGAGCGAGCGCGCCGAAGTCGTTTTATGGTGCTGCGATAAACTGAGCGAGACATTTGTCTCGGCTTCGGACGATTCCGTGCGAGATACGATCTCATCAGGCTGCGCGAGCGCGCTTCTACGCTTGGCCGAGAGTTCAGAGGAGGTTGCCATTAGCGAAGCATGCATGCGATGCGTCCTGGCGCTCATGGATCTCATCACAGTCAAGGACACACTCTACGATTTTGTCGAGGTGATCGCGCTCAAGACCCCGTCGCTAGATTTGCTCGGCATCGAGAACAAGTTAGAGATGGATAGACGTGCTGCTTTTGTCGTGGCGGCGTTGAATTGGACGGTATCTCGCGTGCGAGCCACGGCGACTATCAGTCAGGCTGAGAACACGTTAGCACTTTTCAAGCGTCTTTTCGAACTACTTTCCGATTCTGAACAGGGAACGTGGTTGGAACACTTCACGGATGTTTACGCCGCTGCTGCGTTGTGGGTTGGTCAAATTGAAAAAGACGTTTCCGTGGACACGGATCGTGTGCTCGCGGATGCTGCCGCGCAGAACTGCGTCGAGTCCTTTGACGATGCTTCCACGGGGGAACAATTAAAGAAAAGACCTGAGTGGCTGAAGAATTTGCAGATCCGCGCGAGATGGCTGAAGGAGGCGTTCGCAGTGCTTGACCGTGACAGCACGCTTTGCGCTTGTTTCCTCACAGATTTGGTAGCGATAGTTTCGAAGTCCGTCGAAACCTGGACGCATGGCTCGGTCGATGCGTTAAAAAATGCAAACTTTTGGCCATATCAGTCGAAAAATCGATTCATCACGCCCCGAATCGCGCTCGGTCCGGGTGGAGTCTTGGCTGTCTCGGCGACAACGTTTGAGTTGTTTGTGGAACTGCTCGAGCGGTTGCTCGAGTCGCGAGGCTCTCCGAACGATGACGAAATCGAGACGTGTATGAACGAATACATCGGCTTGGTTTTCATGTTGACGCGAACGGTGTCGGCCTCGACCGCGGCTGGGATCGCCATAAAGACTCCGGGCGGAACAAGCGCTGGACGAGTCGCGCTTGGCGCCGCGCGAGCGCTCTTCTCGGTGGCCAAGTGTCTTACGCAAGTGAACTTCGCCGTTCGCTCTAGCGACGCCGTGTCGAAAACCTTCGATCGCGATCTCATCGCCCAAGTCAAGAGTTTACTCGCCGTGTCGAACGAGGTCGAGCAAAGTAAGACGCTGGACGCTGCACCTGGGGCGCATCGTCGATTCTTCGCAGCATCTCGCGCCGCATTGGTGCGCGCGATCAGTCTCACCGAGCCCGACAACGAGGACATCAAATTCGAGCTGGACAAGATTCGTAAGCGTCATCACTCGAAGAGATGGACGGAGAAGCATGCCAAGGTGGAGAAACGCGTCGTGCGTCCGTCTGCCGCGTCCTTCGCCTCGCGAGAGGCTCAGCCGGATGACTTCATCGATGAAGATGGTGTTTCCATTCTCGAAGCTTTCGAACCGAGTACCGACGAAGAGACTGATAGCGAGGACGAAGAAAATGACGACGAAGCCTTCGTCGTTCGCGGCATGACCGATTGTGAGTGATCACCACGTGTAAAATAGCAATATCATGTACCGCATCGACGGCTTCGCCCACGCCTGGCCCCCACGCGTCACTCCACGTCCCCTCATGACCGTCGCCTCCCTCTCCCGCGCCCTCGCGGCCGTGGTCTACGTCTCTGAGGGTCGTCGCACAGTCGTCCTCGACGCCATTGAGCGCGTCGCACGCGACGCGTCGCTCAAAAACCGCGTCGCTCTGGTGAACGTCTTCGTCGACAGAGAATACAATCGAACCGGTTTCACACTCGCCGGCGCGCACACCGACGGCATCGCCAACACCGCGCTGGATATTGCAAAGAAGTCGCTCGAGTTGATCGATTTTTCGACGCACGACGCCACGCACCCGCGCTTGGGAGTGGTCGATCACGTGTCGTGTCACGAGCTCAGAGGCGAGCGAGACGCTGGTGCGGCGCTCGCGCGGAACATCGGGCGAGGTTTAGGCGATCAAGGGGTCCCGGTGAAGCTATACGGTGACGCTGCGAGCGATAAAGTGGGCCTAGCGGAGATAAGACGACGGGCCGGGTACTTCTCCGGGTCGAAAGAGGGGAGGTGGATGGGCGACGGCGGTTTGAGAGAGTTGGCGTTTGAGTATGGCCCGAGCGAGATGTCGAGCAAAATTGGGTTCGGGTGCGTGGGTGCGGTGCCATGGGTGTGTAATTATAACGTTCCGCTGACATTCACGTTCGACGCGGGCGTGGACGCGGATGAGAGGATGCGAAGGGCGCTGGCGTTCGGTCGCGCGGCGGCAAAGTGCGTGTCAGAACGCGGCGGAGGTTTACCAAGCGTGCAGTCCATGGCGCTTCCGCACGGAGATCGCGTCGAGGTGGCGTGTAATTTGCTGGACATGGACGTGACGTCCACGGCGGACGTGCAGAGAGCGACGGAGTCGACGGTGGCATCGATCAACGCGTGGGATTACTTGGGCGTCGGCTCGACAGTTCGCGTCGACCAAGGGTACGTAACCAATCAGACCCCAGAGAGCATGTTAGAGGCGATAGCCGCGTTGGAGCGCGGTAGTTAGCGTTCGTGTTGTTGTTATTTATTGATTTATTGCGAGGTAGTACTTGCACGGATGCAGCGTTTCGTTGAGCTGTCTCGGTTTTATGCGTTTAGCGGTGTGAGACCACTCGTGCCGAGAGTTTCAAGCTTTTCAAACGCCGCCGCGAAATCTTCAAAGAACTTGGTCTGACTCTTCGCGTATTCGAGGACGTAGGGCTTGAACTTCTCGTCCTCGATCAACGCGATATCCGACGGAAGCATCATCAACTGTCCGCTTGGGTCGGTGTATTGGAACTTTGCCTTCGTGTCGTCAGGTTCCCATTTCAGGCCTTTCAGCAATACGAAATACGAATTATTGAAGAGCAAAGGGGTGCCCGACCAAGGGCCTTCGTATCCGGACGCATTAGCGTGGCAACGCCCTAAGGCGTGCGCACCAGAAAGCGCAACGATCTCACGATCGTTGAAGCCCATGCGATAAAAGACATCGCGCAAGCCTTGTCTCGTTTTCGGTCCAGGACCATCGCCCTTATCGGCGTCTGGCAATCGTCCGTCGGGCGTCACCGCACCTGGATCCATCTCGTCAACGCGACCGTACGAAAATTTGAGCTTCGGTCCGCCCATCTCCTCGATCGCGACGACGCCGACGAAGGCGATGAGATCCGCCCACGAGATGCCGTCGCGTCGCTCGTGAATCGGTTCGAGCTTACGAATCGCCGCTTCCAGTCCGGCGTTCCCGCCGTGCGCGAGCTCCTCGCGGAATCGAATCGTCCCACCACCGCTCCCGCCCGTCCTAGACATTCGATCGTACGTGCCAGAGCTGTGCCAGGCGAGCCGCACCATCGTCGGCCCGAAATCCGGATCCTCCGCCATCAATTTTCGCACGTCGCCGCGCGTCGCCGCGAACCGTTCCTCCACCGTCGGCGTCCCACCGCGAGCGATCGCCGGCGACGCGAGCGTCATCAACGGCGCGAGCGCGACCGCCGCGAGCACGTCCCGTCGCGTTCGCCCGTCGTCGTCGTTCGACACCGATCGAATTCTAACCGTCTTCCGACGGTTGCACGCCCGCGTTCTCGTTCGACCACCGCTCGCGCTCGCGCCCGCGCCCACGCGCGCGCGCGCGCCGGACGTCATCTCACCCGTCGTCCTCGCCCGTCCCGCGCGCGCGCGAGACGGTGCGTCGCGGTGCGTCGTGCGATGCGCCGGAACCGACCGACACATCCGCGCGCATGCCCACGCTCGGCGCGCGCACGCGAGCGACGCCGAGCGCGAGCCCGGGTGGATCGAATCGCGATCGACGCGCGTCGCCCGCGAGCGCGCGCGCGGAGTTCGACGCGGACGCGAACGAACGAACGACGACGACGATGGTTGACAGAGTCTTCGTGGTGTCGGACGTGCACGTCGACGCGACGGCGAACGCGGCGTGGGTGCGCGGACTGCGAGATCGGCGCGGGTGTGCGGGCGCGGGAAGAGACGTGCTGTGCGTGGGGGGGGACGTGTCGGACGACGTCGAGGAGGTGCGCGCGGCGTTGGAGGAATTTCAAGCGCGCGGGTTCGCGGAGGTGTTCTACACGTTTGGGAATCACGAGTGTTGGATGAACGCGGAGGATGAGAGGGTGGGAAGGGAGACGTCGGTGTCGAAGATTCGAGATTTATTGGCGATATGTGAGGAAATGGGGGTGCGAACGAGACCGGGGAAGGTTGGGGACGGGTTGTGGATCGCGCCGTTGCACTCGTATCATCACCGCGGTTTCGATACGGAGCCCGAGGTGGACGCGCCCGAGGTGCCGCCGGTGGAGCGAGTGATGAACGACTTTCGATTCGCGCGATGGCCGGATAATCTGAGCGATATGACGGACGACGTCGCGCGGTGGTGCGATGGGCTCAACGACCACGGTTGGGACGAGTTCGTGGCTTCCATCGAGCCGGGAGACAAGGTGCTCTCGTTCAGTCATTTCCTCCCTCGTCTCGAACTAATACCGGAGAAGAGGATGCTATTTTACCCCAGACTCGCGCAAGCGAGCGGAAGTGAGTTTCTCAGAAAACGTGTGGATACGCTCAAGGCGCGCGTGAACGAAGGCAACCTCACGCACGCGTTCGGCCATACCCACTTTGGATGGAATCAGACGCTCGACGGCGTGCGCTACGTCCAGGCGGCGCTCGCGACTCCCTCGGAGTGGAGCAAGCGTCCTCGCAGCTTGGAAATCGGTGAATTTACCAATCTTTCAGAAGAACCGCTCTGTGTCTACGAGCACGGCGAGTTCGTTGAAGGACAGCGCGCGATGTGGAGCGATTACTACGCCGCCAACGAGCGAGCGCCCGAGGACGTCGAGCTCCTTCCGCACGCCCGACAGTTCATCCGTCAGCGCTGGGGCCCCGGTCGTCGAGCCACCGTCTCGAGCGACGCATCCTCACTCCATCCCGGCGCCACCGGCGTCGTGGAGCGACGCTAGCCGCCACAGCAGGGGTGTTTGAAACGCGCGCTTAAAACCGGACCGGTCAGTTAGTTAACGTGAGATATCCGCTACAAGCTCAGGACTTCACAAGACACACGAATCCAACAAGCAGATGCAAACAAGGTTCTTTTAGATGAAGTCGGGTGCATGGCTATTTTAGTTTTATTGCGTCGGTATTAACAAGATGGTACCGGTACTAGAGTGAGAGTGGTGGTCCACCGAAGGGACACGTCTTGAATACGGAGATGTATTTATATTTACGGACGAACGACTGTTCGACGCGGCCTCACATCTTTATCGGATACACGAGCTGAGCCTTTTTCGACTTGCGCACGAAGAGAATGACGTAAATCAATTTGTACGCACATCCGATGGCGAGCAGAATCATTGCGTTTTCGACGAGTTTATCTTCGGAATCAATAGCAGAGTATGTCGCCTTCATAGAGCTGAGAACCTCCTTGCCAGTGCGTCCAAAACAGAGTTCAGAGCCGTTGCATGAGAAACCGGTCGGCGACGAGCTGTCGTCGACGGCACCTGTCCAGGTAGCGTCGATGAAGTCGAGATACACCAAGTTCTTGATAGCCCACTTCAAGTAGGTGATGTAGCTCATTGCCCGGAACGGCCAGATGACGTCAGATTCGCGAACCATTATCCCACAGAATAAAAAGCCAGCGAACCAAAGATTCATGTACGTCAGCATGCCCATGAGAGGGTTATCGAAAGTGATTGAAAACAGTTGCGCCGCGGCTTCAAACGACCAGAGCGTAAGAGCGTACATCATGACGACTTGAACGAAATGCGGTCCATACCACTTGACCATGCCGTATGCCGGAATGGCGAGCGCGAAGAGGGAGAGCAATATCATGAAAGGAATCTGAATGATCAGGTTGGCGAGCAGGTATGAGTACGGTGAGAGCAACCCATTCTTTACCTCTCGCTTGATGGCAAAAAATTCTTCGTTGTAAACGTACGTGGCGACGACTCCGAGCGATGACGGCACGCCTAAAAACCACAACACAAGCCACATCCTCGCGAAGACTTGGTCTTGAGAACGAGAGCGAGATTCAATGTATATGACTGCAAAGAAGATGCAAGCCACGAGGAACATGATCATGCGACCAACGTACATGGATGGATCGCGGTAAGTGATAAGTCCGTGTCTGCGAACGAGCGTCATCGTTTGCGCGATGATGGACGTCCCCTTACTAGAGACGTCGCCGAGCGGACCGGTGTGGTTGCATCCAGAATCATTTTGCTGAAACTGATTGAGGATTTCATCCACTTGCTTCGGGTCAGAGAACTCCGCGTTCACCACATTAAGCATATGTTCTGCAATTGAGTCGCCGTGCGGAACAGGATAGCCGATGTTGGCGAAGTACGACTCCGTCTTATGAGCTGGACCGAGGTAGGCGACACGTCCTTTACTGAGGAGCATGATGCGATCGAAACCGTTGAACACTGCGCTCGATGGCTGGTGAATTGTGCAGCAGATGGCGATGTTTGACGCTTTTGCGAGTTCCTTGAGGAAACCCATAATGGAGGCCGCAGCCGCGGCGTCCAAGCCGGACGTCGGCTCGTCGAGGAAAAGAACGGATGGCGACCCAACGAGCGCGACGGCGAGAGAGAGGCGGCGCCTTTGGCCGCCTGAGAGTCCCTTCAGGAACTGGTTCCCGCACTTTGTGTGACGCGACCCATCTAAACCAACGGTATTGATGATCGCGTCCACGCGGCGTCTCTTCTCCTCCTGCGTCGCCTTGAGCAAGAGATCCGCTGTGTACATCAGCGTTTCCTCCACCGTCAAAAATGCCCACAGTCGATCCACTTGCGGCACCGTGGAGCAGTACTTGGTGAACAGCTCTGGCGTAAGCGGCGAGCCGTTCAGCCGCACGTCGCCCGTGTAAAGTCCACCCTTACCCTCGAGCGTCAACAGATCGATCAGACACGTCTTACCCGCCCCACTCGGTCCCAAAATAGCCAGCACTTCGCCTGAGCACACTTGTCCCGAGACGCCGTGCAAGATCTCCTTGCGCTTCTCCTTCTTCCCCACCTCGAACCGCACGTCCTTGAACGACAGCGTCGTGTCGTTCCCCTGTCATCGTCATCACCACCATCGTCCTCGGTCAGTCATTTCGTTCCTCGCGCACGTCGTCGCCGTCGTCGTCGCCGTCGTCGCCGTCGTCGCCGTCGCGACGGTCGCGACGATCGCGACGATCGCGACGATCGAACCCTTTCACCATCGCGTCAACGCTCGATCGCCCCTCCGCCGTCGCTCGCGCGCGCACCTTCTCTTGGAGATCGAGTAAGCTCGGCGCCTTCTTCATCGTCGCCTGTTCGACGTCTCCGTTCGTCATCGTCGCGAGCGCGCGTGGACGCTCGGCGCGGTGTGCGGCGGCGCGCGCGTGGGGTCGGCACCCAGTCGGCACTCAGTCGGCACCCGGGGTGGTGTCGGCATCGACGAGTGCTGACTCCATGGGAAGGGGTCTGCGGGGTTTCGGGTTACGTCTCCGGGACGCCAGGGAGCGTCGAAGAAGGAACGGTGTACACGAATAACAGAAGCTATGGAGCGATATATGAACGAGGCCGACGGCGTTACGACACGACGTGCGCGACGTGCCCGAGCGCGCGTCGGTGCTCGCAGACGACGCGGAAGAAGTAGCCGGCGAGGATGAGGTTCACGACGACGCACGCGCCGCGAAGGGCGCGGGACGTGATCATCATGGCGAGCATCCACATCGCCGGAACGGCGGCGGCGATCTTTTTGTCCATCACGTGGACGGTGTCGATGTCATGAAAGTATAGAAGGGCGACGCCGAGCGTGGCCGTGGAGAGAAAGAGCGAACTGCTCGAGTCAGAGCCGTCCTTCGCTCCCGTAGCGCCTCCGCGCGCGTAGTTCATCGCGCGCTCGCGCTTGAGCTCCTCACGCGTCGTCTCGAGCTGTTCGCGCAGTCGTTCGCGCACGACGGCCTCTTCCTTGAGTCTCGCGCACGCCGAGAGAAATTTCTCCCGTTCCGTCTCGCTCGCCGCCTTGAACTCCTCCACGCGCGCGCGCGCCCTGGCGCTCATCTCCCTGATCATCGCCGCATCGTCTCGCATCTCCGCGCTCACCGCCCCCACGAGCGTCGGGTCGCTCGCCTGCGCCCACAGACCGCGCGCGATCGCCTTGACGTCCGTGCCGCCCGAGGTCGTCCCGCCCGTCGCCTCTCTGAGCACCGCCGCGAGCAAGCGCATCGGCAACGACGCCAACGCCGAGACGTACACCGCGACGCCCAGCGGAATCACCATCGTCGCCAACGCGCTCGATCGAACCGCCGTGCTCACCCGAGCGAGCGCCATCGAGGCGTCCACGGAGCGCGCCGCGCGTTCCATGTGCGCCAGCGTCATCTCGCACAATCTGTACAAACTCCGCTTTCAAGCGTCTCCGCCGTCGCTCGACGCGCGCGCGCGTCGAGGGACGATATCAACTGTTTGGCCGCCGTCCTCGTCGCGCGATCGCGCGCGAGGTCGCGGCGCGCGCGATGTGAAGACGAACGATCGCGCGCACATCTTTTCCAACCAACTTCACAAAGGGGGACTGTTTCACGAGTCACGACCCTTGGGCTCTTGGCGGTGGATTGATTTTTCGAAATCGCACGCGCATGCTCGACGCCCGCGCGCACAGCGCGACGCGCGCGTGGACGAACGACGCGTCGACGCGTCGACGGTGGTGTCGTCTTCGTTCGCGCGCGCGCGTCGTCGACATCGACCGATCACATTCATCGCGGGATGGCGATGAAGGAGATCGACGGCGGCGACGCGGAGGACGTCGACGGCGGGAGATTCCGAGTCGGGGCGAACGTGTGGGCCACCGCGTCGTTCGATGGGAAGTCTCGACGAGCGGAGATCGTCGACGCGTCGATCGACGAGAGTACGGGGGGTGTGACGTCGTATTACGTGCACTATTGCGAACTTAATAAGCGATGCGACGAGTGGGTGGAGGCGGGGCGAGTGCGCGCGCGCGCGGAGGACGGGAGGAACGGTGGGGCGAGCGCGAGCGCGAGCGGGGGTGAGCTGTTGGGTGGCGATGAAAAGATCTCGGGTGAAGGCGTGGTGGCGCCGAAGACGCTGACGAGGAATTCCAAGCGGCGATATAATGAGATTCATAACGTCGACGCGCCGGTGGAGGATTTACCGCCGTTGGATCAAGTGTACGAGCGCATGCACGAGGAGCGGACAAAGGTGAAGAACGTGCACTCGGTGGAAATTGGGAGACACGAAATGGATACGTGGTATTACTCGCCGTACCCGGACGATTTCGGGAAGTGCTCGAAGTTGTACCTGTGCCAGTATTGCTTCAAGTACATGCGCAAGGCGAAGACGTTGATGAAGCACCGAGACGAGTGTGAGTTGAAGCATCCACCGGGGAAGCGCGTGTATCGGCACCCTCAGGGTAAGGAAAAACCTGTGCTGAGCTTTTGGGAGATTGACGGCGCACATTTCAAGATGTACTGTCAGAACTTGTGCCTCATGGCGAAGCTATTCTTGGACCACAAGACGCTATATTTTGACGTCGAACCCTTCATGTTTTATGTCCTCACCGAGTCAACGGACGGCGATAAAACGCACGACGTCGTAGGGTACTTTAGCAAAGAGAAAGTGTCGGTGGACGAGTACAATCTTTCGTGCATCCTGACCCTGCCGGCGTACCAGCGCAAGGGTTACGGCTCTTTTTTGATTTCGATGAGCTACGAGCTGAGCCGACGACAAGGGATCTACGGCACACCCGAGCGTCCGCTTTCTGATCTTGGACAGGTGAGCTACCGAAGTTATTGGAGTCGATTTGTCCTCGACGCGTTGCACAAAAACCGGGGTAATCTGAGTGTTAAAGATTTAAGCACGATGTTGATGTTTCGCGAGGCAGATATCGTCAGCGCTCTGCAATCGCTCAACCTCGTCAAGTACTGGAAAGGACAGCACATAATATCTTCTTCGCCCAAGATCGTGGAGGAACACTTGCGAAGCTTTGAAAAGAAATCCGCCATTGCTGGTTCACATTTAGAATTCAATCCAGAATTTCTCAAATGGACACCCCCGAAGAGGTGATGTTTGATTTGAAGTGATGTTCTTTACAACTTTACGACAATTCGAAGTGGTCTTGGTACAAGAAGACTAGGTTGTGAAACGAATGCATAGAATACTGCCTACTGGTAATTATCGTCCCGAGCTCACGCCCTGACTTTGTCTCGTTCGTTGAACCTCTGTGCGGCATCGCTCAGGTTCGCTCGGAGTGACGCAGCTCGATTGCCAATCGCTTGAAACATGTTTTGTGCGGCTCCTACTGGGAATTTCGGGAATGCCTTTCGAGCGGTGTTGCCCATCGTGATGGCAACGCCGGGAACGATGACGATGGACGAGGAGACGCGAACGCCAGCTCTCGGAGTGGACAAATCCTCGTTTGAGGACTTGCTCGCTCTCGCGAGTTTAGCCGACCGTGACATCGGAGGCCGAGCTCTGGCTTTCGTGTTCAAAATGTGAGATTCGACGCCCCTCGTGACGTTCTTTCTAATCGTATGCTGCGCAGTGAAAACAAACTGCAGCACCGATCTCCCGGAATCGAGCAGGAATCCACCGAAATTCAAGACTTCGCGAACGACAGGAACGTTGTCAGACGTGCCCGCCACGACTCCCGAGCCCCACGTCACCAGACGTTTCGCCGGAACGAAGGGCATGAAGCGCGTACCCATACCAAACATGAGAGTTGCGCCGGCGAACCTGCCCGCCTTGTTCCAGTGCGAAACGTTCTCGACGTCCGCCAAAGCCTTCGTGAGCCACATGTGATGCTCCCAAAATTGGCCCTTCTTCTCTTCTAGGCGCCTCATGATGGAGTAGTTGACGAACCTGCTGCATGCCGCGGACTCGCGGGTGAGATAGTAGCTCAAATCGTTCAGATAGTGTCGACAATCGTTCACGTGCAGTTCGTACATCGTGTCCCGCGCGTCGTTGAAATTCTTGATGTCGTCCAGCGACAAGTGTGTTGTTCCGACCAGAAACGCATTCTTCGGAAGTGTGCTCAGCGAAGTTTCGCGAATGTCGCCCTGCACGCACGAAGACTTACGGCGCGCCTTGTGTTGCTTTTGCGCGCTCCCTCTCGTCATGGCGTACACCGTGTCCCGCGCGCCGCGCTCGCTCGACCGGTACGTCTTACCACCCGTGAGCGCGAACAATCTGTCGTGCACGTCTCCCCCCACCGGACCGAAATCAAACTGTTGCATCTGACCCGTCTTCAGATCCTTGTACACGAGCATGAAGTGCGCGACGCCAGCGGTGAGAAGCGCCTGTCTCGCCCCGTTCGGAAGCGCCGAGAATATTCCTTTCCCCCACTCCTGGAACGGTCTCGACACCACGTACACCTCCGCCGACCCCGTCCCTCCGCGCTCGCGCGCGTCCAACTCATCATCGATCGCCCGCTCTCGCGCGGTCGCCCACATCGGCGCCAACGACGCCGAGCGTCTCTCGACGTCCTCGCCCGCCTCCCGCCCGTCTCCCCCCCGCCGTTCCATCGCTCGCAGCGCCCCCGGGAACACCACCGCGCTCGACGCCCGCGACGTGGACGTCATCACCCGTCGCGACGCCACCTCACCGCGCCCGCGCGTCGTCGTGAGTTCGCTAATCGACGTCTCCGCGGTCGTAAAAGATGCGTTTATCCACCTCCGGGTGCCCAACCCTTCACCGTCGCCCCGCGCCGCGATCGCGCGCGCGCGTCCTCGACGACGCGCGCGTCGACGCGCGCGCGGACGTCCCGCGCCGCGATCGCGCGCGAGCGTGTCGCACCGCGCGCGCGGCGTCGTCCGGCGTCGCGCGATCGTGATGTGCACGGTCGATGTACACATAGTCGATACACCACCGTGTATACGATACATACTGTCGTATACGCGTAGATATAGACGGATGTAAGACGCAACACGAAAGCCATCGCGCGGGAAAACGCATCGCGACGCCGCGACGCCGCGACGCCGCGATGGGGTCGAGCGAGGACGTCGAAAGCGTCGCCCGTGCGTTAGCGCGCGCGTGGCCGGAGGAACCGACGGCGACGCGAGCGACTTCGACGCCGTTGCGCGCGTTGGGGGAAAATGCGACGCGCGTGTTGAAGCACTGCGAGGCACACTTTCGAGACGGCGTCGCGCTCGATGCGGTGCGACGGGTGCGAACGATCGCGCGCGAGGCCATGAGAGAGGTACGCGTAAAGGTGTGGGACGCTCGGAGCTCGAGAGCGCGAGGGATGGGGGCGACGGGGTTCGCGGATGCGATTCGCGCCCGCGTCCCGGAGAGCGGGACGCGGGTGGAGGACGAAGTCGGCGCGCTGAGTGGAGACGTCGGACTCGTGGTGTGCGAGTGCGATCGCGATGGTGAGATTTCGCGAGACGTCGTGGATGACGTGCGATTGGCGGCGTGCGAGTCGAGTGCGATTGTGATCGCGGTGGAGCGGTGCGCGTTCGGGCGAGCGGAGGCGACGCGAGCGAGCGTCGCGCGGGAGACGAACGTTCCGGTGGAGAACGTGTTCGTGACGTACGGTGCGCTGCGTGGGAACTCACGGGGGATCGATGACGTTTTAGAGCGTCCGCCGTTGCGATCGGAGGCGCGCGAACGGGAGGTTGAGGAAGAGGTTGGGACGCCGAGGTCGGCTTTTGCTCTGGACGACGAAGACGAAGACGAGGGCGGCACGCGCGTTCACGCGTCGAGAGAGGAGAGAATCGAGCGCGAGGAGTGGGAAAAAATGGTTCGTGAGGACTCGGACAGATGTGAAAGCGCCGTACTCGAGATGGCTGTCGGGAAACTGCGCGAAGTGTGCCTTCGCCGAGCGGAAAAGTTAGCACTCGAGTATGAGCCGCTGCGAAGTTCATTATACGCACAGATACGGGGCGAGCGGGCGATAAATCCGAACGGTGCAAGTGACCAACCGGCGCAACCGCACTCGTCGTCGCCGTCGTCGCCGCCGACGATTCGCGCCGAGCCTTACGTTGAGACGAAGAGGCGAATGAGCTCGTCGCAACAGCATCAGCCCGTCCCAGGAATCGATATGATCAAGCTTCAAACGCTGGCGATCAACGGCGCAGAGAAAGGCGCTCAAGTGGCCTCACAAGTGAGCGAAAAGGTCGGCTCATTCTTAAACTGGATGGTTTCCGAAGAGAGCGAGGCTGAGCGTACAAAGCGAGTGGAGCAAGAACGCATTTGGCAAGAGAGACGAAAGGCGATGTGGGAGGCTCAGCGCGCTGAGCGCGAGCAGCAAAAACAGCGAACGCCGAATAGCACGCCCGATTTACAGCGCTCACCGTCGAAATCATTCGTGGAGGGCACGGCGAACCTCGTGAACAAGACTGCAAGATTCGTCGATCTCATCGACGGTTCACTAGGAGGCGACGACGACGCGTATCGCACGCCGCGATCTTCGCATTCTAGCTCGGCAAATGCGCTCGAGGCACAGTTGAGTCGAGCAAATGCACGCATTCGCGCCCTGGAGGATGCGCTCGCACGCCACGAGCCTTTGCACAAACTCTTGACGCATTCGTCTTCGCAGGAAGCTCTTTACTGAATTGTGAATTAATAATACATCGGCGCATCGCCTCATTGCCTATCGTCCGCGTCCATTAGCGCCTTCACAGCCTTCAACTCACCGAGCAACACCCTGAACTTTTCCTCGCTCACGTCTACGTCGAACACGCCCTCCTCTCGAGTGTGCAGCGTCAACCGCACGCCCAACCGTTCGCTCGGTGCGTCCTCCGCGCTCCCGCTCCCGAACGTCACCCCCCACCGCACCCCCTCTCCCATCAACGCATTCACCCTCAAAACCCTCCTTCGCGCGCTCGCCCTCAATCGCTCTCGATTCTTCCCGTACGGTCGCGCCACCGCCTCCGCGTGCTCTCGCGGCAATCCCAACCGCTCGAGCTCGAGCGCCACCGTGCGCTCATCCGCGTCGTGTCGCGTTGCCTCCGTGATGACGTGCGCCAACGCCGCCGTCGACGCCTCCACGTCGCTCGACGCGTTCGAGGCGTCGACGAACGCGCGTAAACGATCGGGATCGAGCGCGAAGGGCGCGACATCGTTGGAGGATTGATTTTCAATCGATGCGTCATCACTCACGACGCACGCGCCGTCGACGAGCCTGGTGCACAGAGCTCGTACTCGAACGGAGGAGAGTCTGGAGACGGCAAACATTTCGGCGAGGACCCAGTCGGGGGCGTCGGCATCGCCGAAGATTTTAAACCGCATGGTGAGGGCGCGGGGCGAGGTGTGAGGCGGCGAAGGAAGCGAAAGAGCGCGATGGATCCGAACGCATCGAGGCGCGCGAATGAGCGCTAACGAATCGTTACTTTTCATTTAAAATGTACATGTTTTCGCCGGCGTCCGCCTTGCGAGCGCGCTTGGGGCCGACGAGGTCGAGGATGGCGTACGCCAACGTCGGCGCGAAGCGGATGAAATACGTGAGCGCCATGATTGGTTGAGGCGCTAACACGATCTCATCGTGACCCACGGCGGCGGCAGCGATGATGTCCCTCGCGACGCGGTCGACGGGCATTCTTCCCTTTATCTTCGACGCGCTCGAGGTGTCGGGCGCGTGGGATTTTGTCTTCTTCGCCGCGCCGGGCGAAGGCGACGACGAAGCCATGTCCCGTCTAAAAACCACCCGCTCTTGTCCATTCATCCCCGTAGCGATCGGACCGGGATACGCGCACGTCACTCGAACGCCCGTGTCCGCGATCTCGCTCCGGAGCGAGTTCAGGAAAGCCGCGTACGCGCTCTTCGCCGCGGCGTACACCGCCTGCCCGGGAGCCGGGAGTTTTGACGCCGCACTGCACACCCCCACGATCGTCGGCGCGAATGACGATCTCGACGAATCACCTCCCGACCGAATGTTATTCACCATCGCCTTCGCGACCTCCTTCGTGATCGCGATCGCGCCCAGAGCGTTCAACTGAAACAGCGCTCGATCGACTTCTCCGGTGTTGTCGTCGCCGTCCAACGCGCTCGCGGCTTGGCTCCCACCCGCGCAGTGCACGAACACATCCACGCCGTTCGCGACCGCGAAAGCCTTCCTCGTCGCCTCATTGATCTCTTCACGCGTCCCCGAGACGTCGAACGCCACCGCGTGCGCGCTCGACGCGCCCGCGCGTCGGCACCGCGTCGCGACGTCCTCGCACCGCTCCAAGTCTCGCCCCGACGCGATCACCGTCGCCCCGAGCTCGGCGTACCGCATCGCCATCGCCTCACCGAGACCTTGCGTGGCGCCCGTAATCCAAACGACGCGTCCGCGTCCGTGCGTTCTCGACGCACGCGCGAACGCCGAGCTCGGTGACGAGCGTCCGAACGCCAACGATGCCGCGCACGCCGCGAGGACGACGCCCGCGAGCGCTCTGAGTGCGACCGCGGTGTCCGGAGCGACGATAAGGGCACCAGCGGCGACCGCGGGAGCGAGATCGACGCAGAGCGGGATGAACCTTCCAGCGCGAGCGAACGCGCGCGCGGGTCTCGCTGAGCGCGGCCGAACCATCGCACACGCTCTCGAAGACGTCGGACGCGTACGTGATTGGAGTGACGACGCGGTGGTCGAGCGGGCGCCGACTCGGCGCATGCGCGAGCGCCGACGTGTGAGACAACGCGGGCGTCGCCCAGCGCGGTTGTTTCGTCAACGCTTCTTCTCTGTGATGATAACTTCTCTCGGAACTAGGTTTCCGCTAATCGAGCTTGAGCCCGGGAATCGGGGTGTAAAGGAATGGCTCGCGAATGAGCGGCATACCATGCAGGGCGAGGACGCCCGCGAACGAGGCGCCGATGAAGATGATGGCGGCGACCCACTGCGCCACTTTTCGCGTAAACGTGGTGAGCAGCTCCAGATCGTTATCGTCGTGCGCCGCTTCGGCGGTGCGACGACCGTGGACGTCGACGCCAAGAAGTTTACGCTCGGCGGCGCGCGCTGTGTGGCTCTGCGAGGCGCCTTCGGAGACGGCAACGACGACGAGCTCGACGTCCGCCTGTTCTCGAATCGAGCTCAGTGCGCGCGCGATGGACGCTTGCGTCACCTCCGCGCTCCATCTCGCGATCTCACTCTTGTGACCAAACCTCTTTTCGACGTACGATGCGCCCTCGAGGGAGACGAACGCGACCGATCGCGCGTCTTTGCTTTGCGCGAACGCCGTCGCGTCGTCCTCAAAACACCTCAATTCGCGTTCAACCAACGCGCGCGCGCGTCGATCGGCGTCCACATCCGCGCGCTCCAACTCCCGCACCGAGAAATCACCTTCTTCACCGTCGAAACACGCCCGTCGATCGAGCAATAATCGCGCGTCACCGTCCCCGAGTGCCTCGGTCGCGCCCTTCGCGCTCGCGTCTCGCCCCACCGTCCCCCGCGCGCCGTCACCCACGCCCGTCTCCTTCGCCCACGCTCCCACGACATCGACGACGTCGACATTCACGGATCCCGACGTCGTCACCGTCACGAACCGCGTCTTCGCATTCACCTCGACGTTCCCGTCGTCGAACCAACACGCCTCGCCGTCCACCGCGCCGTCGACGACCGCGTCCCGCACCCCCGGTCCCACCATCGACCGCTCAAAGTGCGTCGTTCGACCCACCGACGCCAACGCCACGGCCGCGATCTCGCTCGAGCGCCACGCGAGGTCCGCGGACGCGCTCGCGCGCGATCTCAAACACTTTTTCCCCGAGGTTGAGATCACGACAAACGTCTCCGTGTCTCTCGCTCGCGCGCTCGATTCCGCGCGCGCGAGCGACGTCACGGCGGCGAGCGCGACCGCGACCACCGTCGTCGCCCCTCTCGCGCGCGCGCGCGCTCGCATCGCGCTCGACGCGTCGCGTTTTCCCGTGTCCCACATCGCATCGATGGGCGACCGAACCGCAGAGCGATGCGCGCGCTTCCCGCGGGCGCGTCCGCGCTCTTCGACGACGGGGCGAAGAAAGAGACGTACGAACGGTTTCGTGATCGCGCGCGCGACCGTTCGGACGCGCGCGTGGACCGCGGAGCGGCGGATGCGGACGTGTTCACGGATGATGCAACGACGATGAAGGATCCAAAGGACGACGCGCGGGATGGGTGCGAGGGCGCGCGACCGCGATTCGCGGCGTCGAACGTCGGTGAACGCCCTGGTGGACCCGGGGCGTCGACGTCGGAGGCGAGGTACGTCGTAGGGGTGATTCGTGGACGAACGTGGACGATGAGCGACGGTTGGAACGCGGCGAGCGGGACGTTCGCCGCGGAGAGCGAATCGTTGGATGTCGATGGATCGAAGCGAATATTTCGCGCTGGTGAGGACGGTGGCGTGAAGTTTGTGTGCGCGGACGATTGGTCGGGGGAGCACGTGATGATTCTCGGGAGAGAGAGCGTAGAGGCGTCGACGGAGGGCGCGTGGTACAGACACGCGCGTTGGGCGAGCGGCGGCGGGGCGCGAAGGATAGAGGGATTGAGGGGGGTCGAATGCTCGTGCGCGACGTTCGTGAAGTATGCGAGCTCGGGTGAGAGCAGTGGAAGCGGCGCTGGGACGATCGTGCGGGCGCTCGTGGGGACGGCAGATGGTAGAGTGTTCGACGTGCGCATCGATTACTCGAGCGACGGAAAGCGATTTGAGCAAGCGTGTGAGCGCGTGTTCGAGACGAAAGACTGCGAGAAGATCGCTGGAGTGCGAGCGTTCAAACGCGGGCGAGGAGTGGACAGTCGTCACGGTGCGTTGATCTCGACTTCGCGCAGGTTGTATGCTTTGGTTGGATCATACTCGTTGGAGTCAGTTTTTGCCAAGGCCCGCGCGAAACCGGGCGGCATCGACGCGGTAGTAGAGATGCCGGTAGCGAGCGATACGAGTGAGCTGTGCGTTTGGCAACGTCGTCGTAAATCACCGTCCTCTTCATCCGATTGCATGGCGTGGCTTACAGGCGCTGGAATCTACCGGGGGACGTTGAATTTTAACGTCGACGACGCGTCAAGTGTCTTGGAGCAACACGGTGTGCTTCCGTTTCCGCAAACGGACGCCGACGACGTGGGACCAATTTCTCTCGCCATGACAGAGCATCATATTTTGCTGCTCTATTCAAAATCCTTGATCGCCGTCAACGCCATCACGGGCGACGTGGAGGGAAAGATCCAGCTTCCGTCAGGCGGCGCGTCCACCTTCGCGTGCACAGATCCAACGACGGCTGTAGCGTACGTCGCAAACGAACGAAATTTGCTTCAAATCGTCATCACCAACGAGGACGCCAACGTCTGGCGCGTTCACTGTGACTTGCACGATTATGAACAGGCAATAGCAGCGTGCAAGTCTGAGCTACAGAGGCAGTTTGTGTTCACGCACAAGGCGGAGCGCATGATGAAGATGAAGCGGTACGAAGACGCCGCAGAGGCCTTTGCTAGAGCCAGTCACGCGCACTCGATCGAAGACGTGGCGAAGACGTTCATCGATCTGAACGCGCGAGATGCCCTCTATGCATACATTGAGGGACGGCTCCGAGAGCTCCCAAGTGATGACGTGGCACGACGCTTGATACTCGCCACATGGCTTCTGGAGGAGCGTCTCAAGCTCGCGAGCGTTTCGCGAGATGCAAAAAACGACGCCAAACTTCGTGACTTCTTGCGAGAATACTTCGATTCGCTGGACGAGCGAGAGACGCTTCGCATGTTGAGCGAGGCAAAACGCTTGGACGACGAGATGTACTTCGCTGAGCTGTGCGGCGATTTCGACAGAGTTTTGGACCACTTTATGCAGCTCGGCGATTCGAGGAGGGCGCTAGAAATCATCACTTCGCAGAGGGTGCCGCGCGAAACGTCTAACCGCGTCTTGCCAGCCCTGATTGAGCGTCTGCCGAAGGAGACAATCGACTTTCTACTCTCGCGTGGACAAGTAAGCGAGGACATGAAAATAATTGGCCCACTAGCTCGCGAAGAGAGGTTGTTCGACAAGTCAAGTGACGCCGCAAAGACTATCTTGACGCACTTAGCAAGATATTTGGAAACCATCACGGCGAAAGAGAACGGCATGGCGCGAAGCGACGCCGCCGCTCACAATTTGTTGCTCAACTTGTATGTGAGTCAAATTGACTCATCACCGACCGTCGTGACGACGTTAAATAGATACATCCTCGGCGCGGTGGATGAAGGCACAAAAGAGCCGTTCTACGACGTGCAGTACGCAATTCGCATGTGCGAAAAACACGGCGCGCATCGTAGTGCGGTCTACGCGTATTGCATGTCAAGGAATTACGACATGGCGATGCATATCGCGCTCTCGACGCTTCAAGACATCGAACTGGCGAAGATGGTCACCGTGAAAGCTGCCGAGGCGCCGTCGGGAGATTCGAACGAGGACGAAATCGTGCAGAAGAAGTTGTGGATAGAGATTGCGAAGTGGTCCATTCAAAAGTCTGGCGTTCTGCAACAGCATGCGAACTCAGAGAGTGAGGAAGAGCGTAGTTCCGCAATTCGCGGCGCTTTGAGTTTTCTGAATGAGACTAATGGTGCGTTACGCGTGGAAGATATCCTTCCGCTGCTTCCAGACTTCACCGTCATCGACGACGTCAAGGATTTGGTGTTAAAGTCGCTCACAGAGCATCGATCAGAGATCGAGCATTTGCGAGAAGAACTCGAACGTATCACCGCGTTCACGCAAGATGTACAAGATGAGATAGAGGATCTCGAACAAAAGACGTACATCGTCAAGAAAGATCAGAAGTGTCTCGAGTGCGGCAGGCCCGTCGTCCGTTTGCGTCTCATGGAGCACGCGGATGATGCAAATCTCCTTGCGCCATTTTATGTTTTCCCGTGTGAGATGGCATATCACACGGAGTGCTTGATACGACGAGTGCTTCCACTCATGTTCCCAGACGAGCGTAAACGCGCGCTCGCTTTGATGCGTTTGCTCAAGGTGCCGCTGCCACGTCGGCTCAAGCCCGAGACTAAATTCTGGGGCGCCCCTCCAAAGGCGGCGACCGGACTCACCGCTGAAGAAGCCGTGGGAGAGCTTGAGGATATGCTTTGTGCCGATTGTCCCGATTGTGGCGCTTTACACCTTCGTCTAATCCACGAACCTCTGCTCACTCCAGAGGAGCAGGCGCTCGACGATGCGCTCGCCGCGCAGCTTCCAGAGTCCTGGCTTGATCCGTTCGAGGCTGAGGTCGATTTCGATTCGGACCCTGTCGAAGTGATTCCGTGGGAGGAGTTCAAAGAAATCAAGCTCCCGGACGGATGGCCCGACCACGAATTCTTTCGTTCCTAGTAAAATGATTCATCGTCACACGACGCACATCATCATCGCTTCGACCGCCGCTGACTCTAATCTGTCTCGAAACGCGACGCCCGCTTTGTTGAAACGCCGCGCTCTGTAGCCTTCCCAACCGCGGAGCACCTCACTCGGTGTCGTCTTCGCATGCGCCGCTGTCTGGCGGTGCCAACGCTGTCGTACGTCTCCCGCGCGTGCGCTGTGCGCCGCGCCCGCGTCACGCACGTCAACACCGCGCACAAACGTCACAGTTTCGCTCACAGGAACTCTTCCTCGAGAGCGATGACGCACGACGATGCCGCGTGCGCGCGCGCGCCGGCGTTCCGCTTCGGCCTGCTCGCCGACATCCAGTACTGTGATCAAGACGACCGCAAGAACATCACAGGAACGCAGATGCGACGGTACCGGAACACGCTTAGGGTCGCGGAGCGCGCGGTGCGGTACTTCAACGCCCAGAGCGGCGCGTTGGATTTTTGTGTGCACAACGGAGACATCACCGATCACCAGTGCGCGTTTGATTTCGCAAACGATGATTTCCGACCTGTTGAGCACGGACGGGAGGATTTGGGGGCGGTGATGAAGATTTTGAGCGAATCGTCGTGCGACGAGTGGGTGTTCACTGTTGGGAACCACGAGCTGTATAACTTTACGAGAGAGGAGCTGCGGGACGGGGTGGCGACGCCTGGGGCGAAGTTGGAGTTCAAGTGTGCGAACGAGCGTGGAGATTTCTATTATTCGTTTGCTCCCGGACCGGGATGGCGGGTGATGGTGCTCGATCCGTACGAGGTGAGCATCTATCGCAAGGGACGGCAACAAGGGCTGTGCGAGGAGGCGGTGGAGCTGTTGCGCCAGTACAATCCAAACGTGGACGTCTACGTGAACGAAAACCCGGACGTTATCGAGACAGAGCGCATGAGCGGAACCTTCCCATATTTTAAGGACTTAGAGGGCTTGCAGGGACGCTGGGTGCCCTTCAACGGCGGGTTGGGGAAGAAACAGCTCGAGTGGGCTCGGGAGACGATTCGTTCCGCGGCGGCTTCTGGTGAAAAAGTTCTGATTCTAACGCACCTGCTGGTCCACCCGGACTCCACGGCCAAGCGCTCGGGGAAAACATTGATGTGGGACTACGACGAGCTACTCGAGATCATCGAATCGGACGACGCGAAGGGGTGCGTCAAGTGTGTCATATCCGGGCATCAACACGAAGGAACGCGTTGGAGGTGTGAAAAGACAGGCACGTACTACATTGGCATGGAGAGTCCAATGTTGGCCGAGGACGCGTCTCCGGGCCCTTTCGCCATCGTAAATGTGTACGACGACGAGATCGTGTTCGAGGGATACGGGCGTAATGAGGACTCAAAGATGTTTCCATACGACGCGAAGTCGCCGCCGACGGATCCCATGCAGTGCACATTGACACTCAAGTAGTCCTCGGCGCGTGAAGTACATTTCTGTGTGATTATTAAAACAATCTCTAAATATAAAATTGAATCTCAGCGCATCGTCGTCGAGGCGATCGAAGCGCGCGATGAATCGAACGACGTCGAGGACTGGAACGTCCACATCCTTTGCGACATCGTCGTCACGTTTGCGCGCTACTCGTCGCCCATCTAAGATACGTTCTCGCTCTTTACCAACCGAATCTAGAAACGCGTGGTTTACGATAATACCCTTGATGATACTCCTCGGCGTCCCACCATGCGGTGTCTAACGAGACCTCTGGCGGGTAAATGTCCGTAAACATCGTCCGTCCGACCCGTCGCTCCGCCGCATCCTTGCTCGCGACCGCCTTCTCGTACTGCTCCGGCGTTTGCGCCCAGATCGCCGACTTATACTGCGACTTGGACATGTACGTCGGCGAGTGCTCGGCCCAGAACTGATCCAAGAGTTTGTCGTACGACGTCTCCGCTGGCGAGTACGCGACGTAATAGGCCTCGGTGTGCCCCGTCGATCCCGCGCACACCGTGGTGTACGTCGGCAGGTCGGTCTCACCGCCGGTATATCCGACGCGAACGTGTTTAGCCCCCTTCAGGGCGCTGAACGTCGCGTCGGGACCCCAGAATCATCCACTCGCGAACACGGCGAGCTCGCACCCTTCAGGAATCTTAAACCCGTCCCCTCTTTGCGTTCGCGCGAGTGATCCCGAGGCGCTCGCGCTCGATCGCGCGGTGGTTTGCGCACGCATGCGATTCACGGCGCGCGAGGACGTCGCGGCGACGACGGTACCGGACGCGCGCATGGTAGCGCGAGTCGGCGAGTGCGGCGTGGGCACCGCGCGCGACGGTAATCAACGTCGGTCGTCTAACCGCGCGCGTAAGACGCACTGCTGAGAGTCATTTGAAATCACACCGTTCGCGCAGGCGTCGCACGCGCGTTCGTTTAGCGACAGATGGTGACGGGCCAATCCGGGAATTTCTTCGACCAATACCGCACGCCCATCTGCGAGAGCGTGCGACAGTTGTCGTCAAACTTTTTACCCGCGTACGCGAGCTTCATGAGTCCCGGCATGATCCCGCATCGATCAGCGATCGCTTTCTTCACCTCATCCACGCGCATATCGTCTCGAAGATCGATCCAGAACGGGCCTCCGTACTCGGCGTCCACGTGCAGCGTCGAGCGCACGAGCACGCGCAGCGTCGTCGGCGCCCGTCGCGTCGCCGCCACTCGCGACTCGATCACGGTACCGATCGGCACCCCGGTCGCCACCGCCTCCGCCTTATCCTTCAGGTACTCCTCCCGCGTCGGATCGTACATCGGTCTCCACTCGCTCGACGTCCCACCGCCCGCGCGCACGTTCGGGACGTACTTTTCATCCTCCGCGTAAAAGTCGTACCCACCGTTCGGCGGGATCGTCGGCGTGAGCCCGGAGCCCCCGGTGCCGGGGTTATTGTTGTACTTACTGAACGCGAGGTCGGAGTCGCGATAGGTCGGCATCGTCCCCGTCGACGTGTGCGGGCGCGGGCGTTACGCGGGCGTCTCGGGAATACAAAACGACGCGACGGCGTCGACGCCGGCGCGCGTCTCGGTCGAGTTTCCACCGCTTCATCGCCGCCCCATCGCGATGGGTTTTTCGCGAGTCACGACCGGTGACGGTGTGCGCGACGCGCGTGGACATGTCTAGACTCCGCGAGTCATGACCGGTGACGTGAAGGGACTCGCGATTGCGGAGCTCGGATGCGGAGAACGATTTTTTCACGTCGATCGCTCGATGAGTGTGAGTGGTTGGATGTGGATTGATGATTTTGATTGGATTGATGTTTTCGCTTTCGCCCGGGGACCTCGACGTCGGGCGCCGCGGAGGACGACGCGCGCGATGGTGATCGCGAACGACGCGCTTGCGCGGGTGCGTTCGCTCGGTGGGGGCGTCGCGCGTCGCGCGGGACGGCGCGCGCGCGCGGGGCGACGCGGAGACGGTCGGGTGCGCGCGAGGGGTGATGATTTCCCGAGCTTTTTCCCGCCCGAGGTGCGCGAGCTCACGGAACCGGCGGCGATCGAGATGGCGAAGCGGTGCGAGATGGTGACGGTGCGCGTTCCGGGACGCGCGGTGGCGATCGAGACGTCGTGCGTGCGTGATGAAGGGCCGGATGGTTCGAGCGCGCCGCCGTTCGTGCTCCTGCACGGGTTCGACTCGTCGTGTTTGGAGTATCGACGATTGTTGCCGAAATTGGCGACGCGGGCGGAGACGTGGGCGATCGATTTGTTGGGGTGGGGGTTCACGGACGCCGGGGACGGCGGCGTGGGCGATTATTCCCCGGAGGCGAAGCGGGCGCACTTGTACGCGTTTTGGAAGGAAAACGTGAAACGGCCGATGGTGCTGTGCGGGGCGTCTCTGGGAGGGGCGGCTGCGATCGATTTCGCGACGAATCATCCCGAGGCGGTGGAGAAGTTGGTTTTGATCGACGCGCAGGGGTTCATCGAGGGGCTGGGGCCGATGGGGGCGCTACCTCGTCCAATCGCAAAGGTTGGCGTAAATGTGTTGCGAACGGTGCCGCTGCGAAGCGCCGCGAATCAGTTGGCGTATTACGATAAGGCGACGTACGCCACGGATGACGCGCTACGTGTCGGTCGATTGCACACATTTGCGCCGCAATGGTGCGATGCGACGCTGTCGTTCATGAAATCCGGCGGTTTCAAAGTTCGCAACTCCATCCCAAAGGTTCCCGTGGAGACGCTCGTCGTGTGGGGACGCGACGACAATATTCTAGAGCCTAGCTACGCAGATAAGTTCATGTCGGAACTCCCAAACGCGCGGATGGTGTGGGTGGAGAATTGCGGGCACGTCGCGCATCTAGAACAACCTGATTTCCTGTGCGAGACGCTCTTTGATTTCGTTGGCAGCGCCAAGGAAACTGAGCGGGTGACAGCGTAGAAGTGCGTAATATTAAAAGTGAACATCGTGAACTCGCCAACGCTCGTAAACGTAAATGAAATCATCCCACGGTCGCCCGAATCAGTCAACGAGAACGAGCGGCGGCGTCGTTTGTCCGTTGCCGACGAGGATGAAGTTCACCGTGAAGACCGGCTGAGCGCCCAGCGGAACGGAGAAGACGCCACCAAACATGCTCATTCCAGGCATCGCGTACATCTTTCCGAGGTAGACATTGGTGTAGATGGGACGAAGTTCATCGCGAAAGTACGTGAAGTCGTGATCGAACGTAGAGTAATCGACGACGATGGAATCTTGTCCTTCTTGAAACGTGCTGTCTGCGACTTCGGCTCGACCGGGATACAACTCGATCGGGGTCTCGAGCCTCGGGAAAATTCTCTCCATGAGATTGCCGTAGTTGAGCTGAATCAAATTCGTCACGCTCGACGGATCGATTTCGTCGAAACACTTTCCTTTCCAGGAGTTCAGGTTGAACGTTCGACGAACTCCGTACGCTCGCGCTAAGGCTTCGTAGGATCCAGATCCAATGATGCAACCAGTGTAGCATCCCTTAGGGATGTTCGCGGATGAGAACGAAGATGCTTGCCAATACGCATCGTCCAAGATCGTAGAATTGAGATCACCTCGCAAGAAGTCGGATCCGCATACATCGTTCTCGATGAATTTGGTCATGTTCAGATGTTCAAAACCGAAAGTCTGCGCATCGGTCGCACCCTCGACGAAATTGAATAAATCTCTAGAAAACGTTGAATTCCAAGTAGTAGACTCCAATGCTTGGCGATTTTCATTCGCTGCTTGCCGTTCCTCCGTGGGTGTCAAGTCGAACCGAAGGAGCTCGGAGAAGAAGAAGGTGGACACTCTGTTTGTGACGCGCTGAGACCAAGTGAGCGTCGAGCCAAACAGAGTATCGCTCGTGTCGATGAAAAAGTCGAGAATCATGTCTAATGCGGGAGTCCCTGTATCGCCATTAGATTGCCGAGCGAGCATCCAATCCAAGAAGGGCGTCGGCGCATCACCGGACGAACGCGCGTTGAACCAATCGAGCACGGGCGTTGCTCTGGATTCGTCCGACGAGCTCGAGACGCGCGTCAACCAATCCAAGATGGGCGTCGACGTCGTTCGCCCTGGCTGACGAGAAATCAACCAATCCAAGATGGGTGTCTCACTCTGGAGCAACTTTCGGCGCGCGACCGTCGCGATTCCGCCGGCGTCATCGTTCGCGTAGTTCGCGTTGAGCAGCTTCACGCCCGGCGTCTCTCGCGCCGTCGCCGCGACCACCGCACCCGCGACGCACGCCGCGCCGAACAGCCACCGTCGACCCATGTCCACGAAATAAAAATTTTACCGCGCGCGCTCGTCGCTCGTCTCTTCGCCCTCGCTCGCGTCGGCGCGTCGACAAGTGCGCCTTCTTTGCGCGTCCAATCCACCGAAACGCCAACCGTCTCGAAAACGTCGTCACTCCGAGCCTCGATCGCATCGACGCCTCGATCGCGTCGACCTCATTCGATCACTCGATGCGAAGCGCGCTCACGTTCGCGTCGTCGTCGACGGTCTCGCCCCACCGCGCCCCGCCGTGCGCGTCGCGAAGAGGAGTTTTTGCGTCGCGCCGCCGGGCGAAGCGAACCGTCGCGGCGCTCGCGGGCACGAACCGTCGCGGTGACGTCGTCGTCCTGAACGCGGCACCGAACGCGAGCAAACGGTCGAAGAGGCGCCGCGAGCCGGATCCGGATAAGAAGCGACGACGGCCGCTCGAGGAGCGGTTGAAGAGGAAAGGCGTGGACCTCGAGCAAGCGAGGTCGCCGGCGGGCGCAGAGTCGCTCGCGAACGAGAACGGGGCGAACGGCGAGGAAGACTCGGAGGTTCCCGCGACGGAGGAAACGTGCCAGCGCGTGGCCGAGCTTTTGTTTCGCCAAGATGCCGAGGGATGGCCGATGCAGAGGACGGAGGCGTGGCGGTACGCCAGAGCTTCGTGCGTCACAGCGAGCGATTGCGGTAAGATTTTGAGGGCGTACAACGCCGACGGTGCGGAAAAGGTGCTAGAACAGAAACGACGAATCGTGGCGGAGGAGCGCATGGCGCGAATCGATCTTGAGACATCAGATCTAGCGAAGGAATTAGAACCCACGCGCGAGCGCGGAGAAATCGCTGGAACGTCTGAGTCAAGGAAATCAAAACGTAAAGGCTCACGAGGGTCTGGGACGCCCGCGGCGATACGTCACGGCAACGAGTTTGAGGCCGAGGCGTTGGCTCACTACGAGAAGGTGCACGGCACGAAGTGTCACGAGTTCGGACTCGTGCGTCACGATAAATATTATTGGCTTGGCGCCTCGCCAGATGGCGTCCATCCAGCCGGTCGCGTCGTCGAGATCAAGTGTCCATACTCGAGACCAATATCGAAATCACGCGCGCAGGAGCATCGCCCGCAGATTCAGATCCTTCTCGAGGTCTTAGACCTCGAATTTTGCGATTTCGTCCAATACAAGCCCGCGGGTCGAGGAAAAGGCCGCTCGGGAAATCCGGATCTCCCAGCCTACAACCGCGAAACAATCGCGCGCGATCGCGACTGGTTTGCCTCGCATTTCACCGAGCTCGAATCCTTCGCAAAAAACCTCCCGACACCCTAGAAACGATCGTTGTGATCATATTATCATCGTCGCGCCGCAGTAACACAGGTTGAAAATTTCAAACTTGAACAAAAGCGTCCAAAAACACATCTTGACCACTCCTCGTACGCACACGCCATCGCGTCGTCACCGAACCGCACGTGAATCGACGACGATGGATTGGGCGTGTCTCAACGACGCCCCCGCGCTCGCCGACGCCGACGCCGAGCGCAAGGCGAAGCGTACGCAAGAAGCCGAGGAGTCCAGACTCGCGAGCTCGTACGAATCCGCTCTTAGACTCGCCGCCGATGGCTCGCTCGACGACGCGATCGATGGCCTGCGAAAGGTGTTGTCGAACGCCCTGCTGAACCGCGAGGATGCGTCGTCGCGCACGCTTCGGGTGAAGTTTTTAGCGCTGAAGAATCTTGGAAAGTTGCTCGAGCGGCGAGCGGCGAGCGCCGAGGACGGCGCGGAGGCTTTGAGATGTTACGCACGCGCGGTGGAGATGGACGACGGTGAGGCAGCATTATGGGGCCGGTTGGGTCGGTTGGCGTGCGCGAAGGGTGAGCTCGGGGTCGGAAGGATGGCGTACGAGCGGGCGACGTCGCTGAGTCCGAGGAACCAGCTGTTTTTGGAGGATTTGAGCGAGCTGTGCCTGACGGCGGGTGATTTCGAGAGTGCGAGGGCGATCGCTGGGGCGATCGCGGCGATCGATCCGGCGAACGCGAGAGCGAGGGCGATGAAGCGGGCGCCGGAGACGCTAGAACCGACGAGGGCGATGAAGGCGGCTCGAGAAGCTGCGGCGCCTTTGATGACGGACCAGGACGAGGTGGCTATTCGATTCGGCGTAGAGGTGGAGAAGACGTGGGGTATCATTGCCGCCGTCCTCGCTAGGCTCGGTGGTCTCGAGTCACTGGAGTTGAAGGACGCGGACAAGGGTACTAAGACGACCGAAAACGAGGGTGCGGGAGCGATGGGAGGGGAGACGCCGCAGAGAATGGACACCAACACCACTCCGCCTACGCCAGCGCAGTCAAAGGAGACGACGGCTTCTCCGTCTGGCGTTGACGACGACGATGAAAATGAAGACGGCGTTCTGACTTCATCGGTCGCCGCGTACATGAAATCGGTTCAAAATGTGGAGATTCCTCGTGACGTGATGGGTCGGAAGATTCGTTTCGTGTTTGAACAAACTCCTGCCCCGGCATCTCCGATTCGGGTGCCTATTCAAAGCATGGACCAGGCGGAAGTCATGGAAATAGACGTTGTTACGACTGATGACGCCGTCGAACCGACGCCGTCGCAAGTTACTCGTGAACTGCCCGCGAGTCAATCTGAGAAGCCGGGATCGTCGACGCCCATGACGAAAAGGGTGACAAAATCAAACATCGCTCCAAGCAGAAAGTCAAGGCGCCAGGAAGATTTGGACGCGAAGAAGGCGATCGAAGAAGAGAAAGCTAGAATAATTGCAGAGCAGGAGGCGGCTCAGAGAGCTGTCGAACTTGAAGAGCGAAAACGCGCCGCTGAGGCCAGGAAGTGGAAACCAGAAGTCAATGTAAGTCACGCCTTGTTAAAGCTCATTGGAGCTGAAGATCCTGTCGTTGCGGCAGTGAAGAAGGCGACGACCGATGTCGCCGCAGCGGCGGATCGCGCGCTCAGCTTGAAAAAGAAACATCAAAAAGAGCAAAAGGAGGCTGCAGCAAAGAAGGCTGCGCTGGAACGAGAGAAGAAAACATCTCAAAGAGTTCTGTCTTTCATCAGCGGTATCGATGGCGCGAACGGTGGCGCCGCGCATGTGGCTTGGCGATTCCTTTCCACGACTGCTGCACGTTGGCGTCCGGATGCGGAGGATGATTGTGCACCCGACCCGTGGGCAATACTCACACTTTATCGCATCTATGGCGCGGGTCCAGGTGATGAACTTTCGTCCAAGGCTCGAGTACTTCTGTGCCTCGCGGACACTTGTATTTTAGCCGCCCGATCTTGTGCGCTCGGGCAACCCAATCGTACGTTCTTTCGCAACATGGCGGTGAAAGCGTTGGAAAAATCGGCGATAGAGATGGAGAAGGACTTATCTCATGACTTCCATGCCGAAAGCTTGTTCTTACGACACAAACTTGCGGATCTTGATGGCGAAGAGCCAAGCGTGAGCAAGTATTACCTAGATCAGGCACAGAACTTTGCACCTGATGAATCAGAACTTCCAAAGCCACCCAAAGCGATCGACGACGCGGCGCCTGTGCGTTTCAGCAAGCAATCATTGCGCGCGGCGATGGATGCGATGAAAGTCAAAGAAGTCGTCACTGGCGCAGCTTCGAGGTTTGCCAAGGGTCAGACGGCAGAAATAGTTTCGTCCTTGACGCCATTACTCGTGCCCGATGACGAAGACGAATCCGCAGAAACCTCGGAAGATTTGTCATTGACGCAGTCAGAAAAGCAAGACGCTCTCAAGGTGCTCGCAGCGGCCGCAAAGAAAGAGGGAAGCTCGTGTGTGGTCATTGAACTTAAGGCGCTCAAGATGGTGTACGATTTGACGAAAGATCACACGATGATCCGATTGATGGCGGAGGCGATAGAATCGGCAAGCACGACCCCAAAGTTCTCAAAACTGGCATTGGATACCGCGGAGTCACTCGGGCTGCAAAGCCTAGCGGCATTACTCTTCGAGGCGCACTACACCGAGCTCGCAGCTGAGCCATCTATTCTGAAGAAGAATAAACCATCTCGTATCGCTGCTGCGAGTATGGAGGCGTCGGCGCTCTTGATCGCCTCAGTTCAGTACGCCTCGAAGGCGAAAGACGCCGAAGTGATTGAGTTGCATGAAAAGCTTCACGAACGTCTCGCTGACTGTCGATGCTGTTGCGGTGAGGCTCGTAAGGGAGTCTTCCTTAGATCTTCTTTGGTTCATTTGGCCAAGTGTAGAAATCGCATTACCAAGGCGCGCGATCAACGACACGCAAACGAGCCATCAAACCAGCGTAAAACGAAAGTGAATGTCATGAAGCGCGTGGGAAGCCATTCGGATGGCGTCGGTCAGGATGATGATGCCGATGGTGAGTCGCGTCGGCGGGTGCGTCGTCAGCGTAGCAAAGTTTCGAGTGTTGAGGGTGAGGATCGCACGCCGCAAGACAAGGCTGATCGTAAAATGTTGATCAGGCTCGATAAACTTATCATACAGCTCTGTTATTGCCTTTATGGATTCGAGTTGGAAGGGCCCACGAGACGCTGTCGCGATGAAGGTGGAGCGTGCGACTCCATGTTGAAGATCACAAGCGAGCGAGATGCGGCAGATCTTTGGTTGGCGATACAACCGTACGCAATCGCTAACAAAGATCCTGAAACAGGATACAGCAAGCAGATCAAGACCGTTCTCACCGCGATTCGTGAGAAAATTCAAGAACCTCCCAGGACGCATCAAGGTATACAGGTGGAGCGGTACTTGGCCGCGAGCGTCTCATCAGGAAACGTTGGCGTGATCACAGAGGAGGATAGACAGCTCGCTCGAGCGCTCATTTCACAACCGACTGCAGATCGAGTCATTGCGAGCACACGTACGAACTCGACGCCGACGAAGGATGGTGTGTTGCAGTCGCCAATCGCCACTGAAAGTCCGAGAGAGGCCACGGCGATAAAATCTGCGGAAGCAAAGATTTCTTCGTTTGCCGACGTGTACAAGACTTTGTTCCAATTTTGCGCCGAAGTCGATCTGTGGTCCCTCGAGGTGGCTCTAGAAGACGAAGCGACAGATTATCAAGATCTATACATGTTGCTTGAAAGTGTGACCCCGTGGGGAGTGAGCAACTTTATGGCTAAGAGAGCCTCAAAGGCCTCGTCACAGGTGGCTGATGAGACTGAATCCTTATCAGCGCCTGACCAGAGCGCCGAAGTCACACGAATGTGCAAGCTAGACATCGAATACAATCCGACTAGCCCACAAAGCTGGATCGCTTTGGCAGATCACCTGGATAACGTGAAGGATATTGTTTTGAACGACGCTGCAAAAATTGTGCCGGTTTTGCGCTACCGCAACTCCAACATGATGCCAACGGTGCAGATGGTTCAGTTGGCGATTCGTAGATCTTTGGTCGCGGCGGAGGAAGCGCTCATAATGACCCATTACGCGGGTCATCCGGAAACGGAGTGGGTGCGCTCTCAAATTTATGACAGGCTCGGTCAAACTGCATATGAGCATGTTCAAGACTCTCCGCCGGTCTATGATGGTCGCGAGTTCGCTCTGGATAAGACATCAGAGGCGTTCGTTTCGTCCATGGAAATGAGTAAATACGCATTCCACAAAGCGGCGACGTGCACTCCCGACCAATGGACGTATCCATATTTCTTGGCCAAACTTGCTAAGAAGTCCGGCGAGTCGTTGCAAGACGTCCTCAAGCTGCATCACAAGGCGTGGCAGTTAAGGCCCGGCTCCATTGAAGCCTGTTACCAAGTGCAAAACATACGGGTACGCTTGCTGATGTCCATCTCTCTAGAGCAAAGGAAGAAAATGACTCCAGAATCACAAGCAATCACCCTCAGCGTGCTTAAGATGTCTTACGATCCAGCGCAAATGCAAAATAGCTGGATTGGTGCGTACAGAGATGCCGTCGAGGCGTTGTTGGCAGTCCACAAGAACTATCCAACATTCCACAAGGCGAACTATCGCATCGCTTGGGCACGCCTGAAAAAGTCTCCAGGTGATATTGGTCATTGCAAAAAGGCTTTGGAATATCTCCACCCCTTGTTCAGACATCCGAGAACGGGCACTTTCAAGGTGTGTATGGTTGAGATTGATGATGCCAATTTGCGCATCAAGAGCAATCGCGAAGATGAAGAAGGGATCGTTTACGAAAGCGGCATTAACGAGTCTCGCCGCCGTTACATCTCGAATATCCGACGTGCTTTGCGACTATATCTCTCCATGCTCTACACGATTGAAGACGTGCAGACACTCGCCGCCGCTTCGTCCTACATTTCAGATTACAAATCGACGGCGAAGACGCGTTTGCCAGTCATCGCTCTCAACTGCAAGGACATCAAGTTTTTCTCGTTGGGTCTGCTTTTACGCGCTTTGACTTCGATGCTCGCTCAGAAGGATGTCAGCAATGAGGGTTCCTCTGAAGTTACCGCGCAGTTCCTCAGTCGGGACGCACTCCTCGAAATGGCTTACAACCTTTGGTTTGAGTTCGCCATCCCGGCGCGAGGTAATGTCATGTCTTGGGAGCAAAACGTCGAAGCAGCGTATGCTCAGCTCGAGTGTGAGGAGAAATGCGTGGACGAGAGTGTTGACCTCGTCAGGGCTCCCTATGCCGCTGCGTTTTTCAATGCGAAGGAGATTTTGAAAACGTCTCCGCTGTTGAACTTTGAGCGGTTCGCACTCGATCGTGTGAAGGATCTCGAATCGCGAGAAGACTTGAACTCTCTGGCTGCGAACTTGTCCCTGTGTCAGAATCGCATCAAAGAGTTCAGCAGCCCCATCGAGCAGCAAGTGAGGGAATTAGGAAGCGAACGCCTGAGGACGCTCGTCGAAGCGCACAAGGAAGCTTTTATCAGGTGTTCCACAGATACGATCGAGCTTCTTGCGAATGGAAAACTCACGCTTCGACCCAGTGGTTTCGATATGATCGAATTGGATGACGACAGGGAGATGGGTGACGATAGAACTGGCGACGCTGCGGCTGCCGCGACGACTGCCTCCACCAAGTCTTCGACAAATTTCAGCGAGGTTGTCCTCGTCACCGCCCGCCGGCTGCACGCCGCGACGAAGCAAGAGTCGAGCCAACGAGTGAACGACTACATCACCGAGCGGCGTAACTCTCTTCAGAAGATGCTTGACGGTATCGACGCAGGATCTTCGCTGAGTGACCTCGGTGTCCTGGACCCACCCTTGGCCGCGAAGACGTATGCGGAGCGAAAGGAAACCGAGCTCGAAATTGAACGTTTGAAGAAACTGCACAGCGAACTCGTGGAGAAGGCCATGGCTACAGAGAGTGCGGCTGCGGACCCCGAACAACTCAAGCTTGTCAGGACTGCGTACGAGGATCTCACGACGGCGAATGAAAAATTCGAGCGTCTCAAATCCGAAGACGCTATCAACCAGACGCAGTATCGAGAGGAGACCGCCTCGATCGCGCAACAGATGGGCAAGAGCGACATCACGAACGCCGACTCCGCGAAATACCTCATTCGCGTCGTCAACGCGATCGCTCGTCGGGAGATCACCGATATCGATGAGGCTGAGCGCGAGGCGGAGACGCGTTTCCAAAATCTCCGCAAGCTCGCCTCTGACTTGCGCAAAAAGTCTGGACGCTCGCGCGCGAGAAAGCCCGCGACCAAGGACGCTGCCGTCGCCGATCCCGTCGAGCAGGAGCAAAATGACGCCAACGTGCACACCGAAACGCCGGTGAACGACCCCGCGGACGCCAACGTCCCGGACGCGACGACCGATCGAGAAGACGCCGACTAGCCCCGCGCGCTGTGTAACGCATCAACGCACCGAGTCCCGACACACGTCGCCGCGCCCCACCGCCGCTCGTCACTCTCACGCGCTCACGGCGTCGATCGAGCGCCCGCCGGACCCTCACGCGTCGCCGCGAGGACCCGCGCGCGTGGCCGTCGCGCCGTCGCACCGTCGACGCGCGTCACGTTCGCCGTCGTCGTCCAGCGCGTCAGCCTCGCGCGAGCGCTCCGGCGGCGCGAGAGCACTTTTAATTCTTCAGTGAAATCACTCGTCACGCGTGCTCTGACGATGCGCGCGCACGCGCCCGGGGGTGACGACCAAGGACGCGGAGGTGGTCGACGGAAACGCCCGCGCGGAGGCCGCTCGGGACGCGGAGGCGAGGGACGGGGAGAGATTCCCAAGCCGCAGCGGGACGGGGACTCATTCGGCGGGACGAGCGGGATCAACGATAGATTGGATTTCGGTGGTGGCGGCGGGAGAGCGCCCGTGGCGCCGAAGAAGGTTAATTTGATGATGTCGCAATCGGGCGGGGGGACGCTCGCGCGAGCGGTGCGCGTGGAGTCGCAAGGGTCGAACGCGCCGTCGAGCACGGCGGCGTTTGCAAACATGGGTCTGACGGAGGCGTCGGCTCGGGCGATTCGGGACGTCATGGGGTTCACGCACGCCACCTCAGTACAGGACGCGACACTACCGCACATCATGCAAGGATTAGACGTCCTCGCGCGGGCGAAAACCGGGAGCGGGAAGACTGTTGGATTCTTATTGCCGGCTATCGAACGCCTGGCGCGCGCAGGGGCGCCGCAAAGGGGTAACGTGTCGTGCCTGGTGATTTCGCCCACGCGCGAGCTCGCGTCTCAGATCGGCGAAGAGGCGAAAAGTCTGTTGTCGTTTCATCCTTTCAAGTGCCAAGTCGTGTTCGGAGGGACGAACATCAACAGCGAGCGAAAGCGTTTGAAGACTGAGCCGGTGGAATTTTTGATCGCCACGCCGGGTCGTTTGATCGACCATTTCGAATCGGGCGATCTCGCTCGCGCGTGCCAGAATCTCGACGTATTGGTACTCGACGAAGCGGATCAACTCCTCGACATGGGTTTCCGCCCGAGCCTGGAGAAGATCTTGTCTTTCCTGCCGAACCAACGTCAGACGCTCCTGTTCTCCGCCACTGTTCCCAAAACGGTGCATCAAATCGCGGCCAACGCTTTGCGTCCAGGACATCAGTACATCGATTGTGTTGGCGAAGATGCACCCGCAACGAACCTTCAGGTGAAGCAGTCACTCATTATGGCCCCGTTTCACGACCACTTAACTCTGATGACGCAAGTCATCGAGAGGCATCAAGCCGAGGAACAGAACCACAAGATTATGGTCTTCTTCACCACGGCACGTTCGACGCAGCTCGCGTCGGAGACTTTCGAGGCAATGGGTAAACCCGTCTTCGAAATCCACAGTCGGAAATCGCAGGCGGTCCGTACAAAGGCTGCGGACAAGTTCCGCGCGTCTCGCGCTGCCGTCATGTTCTCCTCAGACGTCACTGCTCGCGGTATGGACTTTCCCGACGTGACCATGGTGATCCAAATCGGCGTGCCGTCAAACAGAGAACAGTACATCCACCGTCTCGGGCGCACCGGTCGCGCCGGAAAGACTGGTAAAGGTTTGCTAATGCTCGACCCTGCTGAGAAGTTCTTCATGAACGGCGTTCGAGATTTACCAATCGAAGTCCTCGACAGCTCGGTCGATCCTCAGACGGACCAGGCTGTTCGACTCGCCATTCGTAAAGTCAACCCAGACACCAAGAGTCAGGCCTACAGCGCTTGGTTAGGCTTCTATAACGGCTCGAGCTCAAAAATGAGGTGGAGCAAGGAGGACTTGATCTTCGCTGCAAACAACTATGCGTTGGAGACGTTGCAGTGCGACCAACTTCCTGGACTGATGAAGAAGACGATCGGGAAGATGGGTCTGCGAGACTACGCATCACACTTGCGAATCGTCTCCGAGCTTGAGCGTGGCGGCGGCGGCGGTGGCGGTGGCGGTGGCGGCGGTGGCGGCGGCGGCAGCGGCGGACGCGGTGGCGGCGGACGCGGTGGCGGCGGACGCGGTGGCGGCGGACGCGGTGGCGGTGGACGTGGCGGACGCGGCGGGGATCGTGGCTTCGGCGGTGGTGGACGTAGCGGCCGCTACTGATTCGTTTTTATTCCGTGTAGAATTCGTTTCTCTCTTTTTTCATGAAAAAATTTCTAGTTAACGCTACCGTAAAGCAAAACCCATGCCCGCTCAATCACGCCAAGCGCCTCAAATGTCTGAGCACATCCCCGACAAGATACAGACTTCCCGTGACAAGCACATTGACGCGCGCCGGGGCCACTTCGCGAGCGCGCTGGCGGATGGCGCCAAGCGCTTGCTGAATGCTCGGCATCACAACGCCTCGCGATGAGGAAGGCGCATCCCGAGACGTGAGCGTTGCGCGCCTATCCCTGATCTCGTCCCACTCCCGCGCGCACTTCTCTTGCCATGGCGTCGCTTTTGCGAGCGCGCTCTTATCCAATCCGCCCGTCGAACTGTCCGGCGGCGTAAAAATGGTTTGCTCGAGCGACACGTTCGACGCGGAGAAGACACTATCGACCGGTTCAAGCAGTTCGTGCGGTTTTCGATCCTCCATGCAGTTGAACATCATGATGTCGTGACTGCTTGTAGAGTTCACGACTCCCCGGGTGGCACTCTTAGCGAACCACACTGCGCTGTGTCGCATCGATTCGACGGTGTGCGCGCCGTCGAGAAAAAATGTCAAATTTTTCTCGTCCGGATCATCAATGACTTGCGACCGACCGGGCCAGACAGTCTTCGCCAAACCTCTGCGCATGAAAGCCGGGAGCTCGTTGCGTTGGAAACTCGCCTCCATCTCCGTCGCCCAAGGTTGTTTCGTCACGTTTGCCCACTCGCGAACCAACGCGACGGCGAGCGACGCGTTTTCGCGTTGGTGCGGCCCAGCCAAGCTCACCTCGATCTCCTCCCCATCTTTGTAATCGTCGAGGCTTTTGATAACCACTAACTCACACCCTACCTCTTTCGCGCGTCGCTCGAGCGCTGCCATCGCCTCGGGCTTCTGCGGCGACGTGAACACGCGCGCGCCCGGCTTCATGATGCCCGCCTTCTCCGTCGCAATCTTCTCCAGAGTGTCCCCCAAAATATCCGTGTGATCCATCCCTAGCGACGATATCCCGCACACCACCGGCTTGCGAATCACGTTCGTCGCGTCCAATCGCCCCCCCAGCCCGACCTCGAGCACGCACGCCTCCACTTTTGCCTCTGAAAAAATCCTCAATCCCAGCAGCGTCAAAAATCGAAAGTACGCCGGCATCCCTAAATCCCCACAACTCCCCTCCAACGCGTCGTGCATCCACCAAAACTCCCGCGCGAACGCTTCTCGACTCACCGGTTCCCCATCCACGCGAAATCGTTCCCGGACGTCCACTAAGTGCGGCGACGTAAACGTTCCGCACCGCGTCCCCGCCTCTCGCAGGCACCGCTCCGCCATCGCGCACGTCGACCCCTTCCCCTTCGTCCCCGCGACGTGAATCACGCGCAGCGCGTCCGAGGGTCGATCCAGCCCTAATCTCCGAACGTACGTCCCGAGCTGGTCGAACTGCGCCTCCCACGTCATCGCCCCTGGATCCGCGCGTTTCTTTCCCGTGATCGTTCGACCGAGCTGTCGCACCGCGGCGTCGAACGAGGCGTCGCCGCGCATGACGCCCGCGATCGCCGCGATCGCGCGCGCGGCGTCGCGTTCGCGTCGAGGCGTGGGGCGTCGCGCGCGCGCCGAGCGCGGGCGTGCGTCATGCGTGGACGCGAACATAGTCGATCGTCGGGTACAGTACGGGTGCCGACCGCGTCCGAGGTGTGCTATACATTGTGTGTGCCAAAACATCGGACACGCGGACGCGTTCTGGGTGCACGCACACGGGTGTGCCGTCGTCCCTGGTCGTGCGTGGCCTAAACCCTACACACCACTAAACCCTACGCACACGTCGATCCGTGGGCGCGACCTCGCGATGGTGTTGGCCGCGCGCGCGACGTTACAGGGCGTCGCGGACGTCGCGGACGTCGACGCGCGCGCGCGCGCGCGGGTCGAACGCGTCGTTTGAAGCGTGCGAACCGCACTCGGGGTCGAGCGCGATGGCGACGACGTCGCAGCGTGAGTACGATGAGCGCACCGTTCGAGACATGGGAGGCGATCGGAACGTCTTCGCCGGCCGCGCGTGCGACGGGTGTCGCGCCCTGGGGTCGGTCATGGTGATCGTGGTGTTGATCATAGTCGCGTTGACGTATTACGCGACGGTGATCGTGGTGTATCTCCCGGAGGCGCGAGGGGAGGGTGAGGGGGCGACGCTCGCGCGGTGGGCGCTCGTCGCGTATCACCTGGCGGTGTTCATGTTATTGTGGTCGTACTTTGCGTGCGTGCTCACCGAGCCGGGTGGAGTGCCGAAGGGGTGGACTCCATTCCCGGAGGATCCCGAGGAAGCGGCGGCGGAGGCGAAGAAGTCGAATAGTGAGAAGAGGAGGCGGTTCTGTAAGAAGTGCTCGGCGTGGAAGCCGCGGCGTACGCATCACTGCTCGGTGTGCAAGCGGTGCGTGTTGAAGATGGATCACCACTGCGTGTGGGTGGCAAACTGTGTGGGGGCATACAATTATAAATTTTTCTTGCAGTTCTTGGCGTACACATTCATCGCGACAGTTTTGGACGCAATCTTGCTCTTGTCGAATTTCATCGACTTCTTCAAGGATGTGGAGCAGAGTCAGGCGAGAGGGTCCACGGGTCCGGACGCCAAGGTAGACTCGGTGGAGGGGACGGAGCTAGCTGTGGTGTTCGTGACGTTCATAATCAACGTCGCTTTCTCGGCGTCGCTGTTGGGATTCTTGGTGATGCATAGCAATCTCATCCTGAGCAACATGTCGACCATCGAAATGTACGAGAAAAAGAAGATTCTTCCGTGGAAGTACGATTTAGGAAAGTTTAAAAACTTCAAACAAGTGTTTGGAGAGAACATATTTTTATGGTTCTTCCCCGTACACTCTAGCTCGCACCTGGATCAGGTGCAAATCTTCACTGGCCTCGCCGACGGGGAGACGTTGGACGGAGTCGCGTACGCGCGCGCGTGTGAAGCCGAGCGCTCGAGCTTGCCCGCGCAGTCAGGCTCCTCGAACGTGGCGGCCATGGGTAGGGGGAACAGCAAGAGGGAGAAAAATAGAAAGGGCACTTAGAAGCACATTAGTACTTGCGCTGTAAAGCATGTCAACATTTCTACATTAAATACACCGCCGCGACGCGCGCATGCGATCTCACGCGGGCTTGCTCATCATATCCTTGAGTGCCTGTCTCCTCTTCAGCTCCCTCGGCGCGTTCGCCGCCTCTATCTTCTTCTCTAACGCCAACTTCTTCTCCGACAAGTCCTCCAACAGCGAGTATCTCAAACTCGGAAGCAAACTCCGCCGTCGCTCGTACTCCTCAAGCGCCAACTTCGCACTCGAGCTGCATCGCATCATTCCACCGTCAGTCCACTTTTCTTCCGTTCTCGTCGCTCCTCGTCGTCTTCGTCTTCGTCGTCGAGTCGTCTTCGCGCGCGTCGTCTTCGCACCTCATAGCCTTCGTCGCCCGCTCCAGCGTCGGCAAGTCGCTCGTCGCGCTCGCCTCGCACGAGATCGCCGCGTTCAGCGCCGTCTCCCGCAACCGTTCCTCGGCGTCTCGCACGTTCGCTCGCGTCGCGTCGACGCACTGCCGACCGAACGTCTCGACGAACCGATTCGACCGCTTGGCCGCGATCTTTTGTAACTCGCTCTCTCCCACGTCGCCGATCGCGCTCGACGCGGTCACGGCGGTTCCCTGACTCGACGTCGATCGCATCGCATCCGACACGCGCGTCGTCATCGTCGTCAGCGAGCTCGAGAGGGCGTCCATGGCGTCGCGAAGGATTGATGAGCAATTCGGTGCGTCGCGCAGTGCCGACTGTTCTCGTCAGTGCGCGCCGTGCCGTGCGTCGCTCGACGGCATGGCGAGCACGGATGCATCGCGTGTTCTCACGTCGAACGGCGCGCGTTGGACGGCGAAAGCGCGCGAACGAGCGACGAAACGGCGGGAGTTTCGACGCTCTGGAAGATTCTTCCAGAGCGAGGAATCATCCACGTCGTCGCGCGCGCGCAGAGTCTCGTCGCGCGCGATCGGGCGCTCGCGCGACCCGTTCGAGGAGTTCGCGGAGATGGAGCGGGCGATGGAGCGAGAGTTCGAGCGCGCGACTGGATGGTGGATGCGAGACGGGCGAGACGGACGCGGCGGCGGTGGCTCGCGGAGGAGGACGCCGGGCGGAAGCGAGCGCGTCATCGTCGCGCCCAGGGACGATTGGCGACGAGAAGAGTCCGGAGAGCGACGACTCCCGGGTGGTGGGACCCATACGTATTACGTGAGCGAACGGGTGACGACGTACGGGACTCCTCGAGCGGATGCCGCGCGAGGCGCTCGGTTGGGCGCTCTCGGGTCGATTCCGAGCGCGCTCGCTCTAGGAATCGCCCTCGGTGCGACGTACGCCTACGTGGCATTCGCCAAGGAATTCGTCGACGGCTTCGATGCGACGACCTACCGCGCCGAACGACGCAACGGTTTGGCGCTTCGATGGCCGCTCCTGTACGCGTCCAACGAAAAGTTTCGAAGCGAGTTCGACCGCGCCCGCTCCAGAGCGCGCGCCGCGCGGTCGACCGCGGCATTCGTCGAAACGAAACCATCTACACCGAACGACGACGCGGCGACGACCGAGACGTCCGAGTAGACCCCCTGAGGCGCTTCGCGACGCCGTGTGTAACAAACGCGAATTGTATTCTTTCAACCGAGCGCGCGCGCTGCGCGCACCACACTTCGCGCGCGTCTCATCGACCCACGGGTCCACCCATCGGTGCATCGCGTCATGCGCGCGATGTGCGCGCCGTGTCCGCGCGTGCGCGCGTCGTCGTCGCACACGACGCCCGCGAGAGCGACGCGCACATTTGATTTTGGAAATCGGGTGTCGCGTACGTCAACCTCGACGACGCGCGCGCGACGACGATGGACGGCGCGCGCGACGTCGGAGGACGATGCATCGAACGATGATGTGCGATCGCGCGCGCGCGCGGCGGTGGAACGCGCGACGCGGGCGCTGGAGAGCGACGACGCGAGTGGAAGCGTCGACGAGGCGGACGAAGCGGAGGACGAGGCGACGACGACGCGATCGATGCCGACGTCGGGGCGAGTGGAGAGGCGCGATTCATCGAGAGAGATTCGATTGATCGTCACCGACGTGGATGGGACGCTGTTAAACTCGAGGCAGGAGTTGAGCGCGCGCGCGGCGGCGGCGCTGAGAGACGCGGCGGAGCTCGGGGTGCCGACGGTGGTGGCGACGGGGAAGACGCGCGGGCCCTGGGCTAGGGCGCTGTACGAAGAGCTCGGTGAAGAGAATAGAAAGATGCCGGGTTTGTTCATTCAAGGTCTCGTCGTGTGCGACGGTCGTGGAATGGTGCTGAAGAGTAGGACGCTAGAAAAGGCGGGCGTCAAAGATATTTTGCGCTTTGCCAAGACCCGAGACAGCGTCGTCGTCGCGTTCTGCGGCGAACAGATCGTGTGCTCCACGAGGAATAAGTACACGGACAAGGTTTTGGATTACGGTGAACCCGAACCGTTGGAGTGTGGTGATTTATTGGCGAAGAGCGATGAGTTTGAAGTGAACAAACTGCTCCTCTTCGGCGAAGACGACGCTGTGGCGCGCTTTCGCGCGGAGGCGGAGACAATCCTCGCGGATGTGTGCGACATCACAGTCGCAGTTCCCGGTATGTTGGAGTTTCTCCCTAAAGGTGCGAGCAAGGGCTCGGCCGTTCGCGACTTGTGCGAGGTGATGGATATCGACTTGGCGGATGTCCTCGCGCTCGGCGACGGTGAGAACGACAAAGAAATGCTCATGTACGCGGGCCTGGGAATCGCCGTTGGTAACGCGAGTTCTGTAACAAAATCAATGGCTGACGTCGTCATGGAAGAGACGAACGACGAAGACGCCGTGGCGAAGGCTGTGGAAGTGTTTGTGCTCGAGCCGAGGCGATTGCCGGATGGCGAGAGTCAAGCGCCTCCCCGTGAGGACGTTATGATTGACGCTGGAGCTAGCGGTGATTGGTTGAGCTCCAGAGCGGAGGCGCTCGACGAAGCTCGAGTCCGCGCCGAAAAAGAGGCGAGATCTAGGGCTAGACAGAAGGTGAAGTCAGAGAAAGAAAAAGTTGAATATAAAAAATTTCTCGAGCGACAGTCCACTGTCGAAGAGAGGCAAGCGGCGGAGGCCGAGCTCGAGGACGAACTCATGTCCAAAATCGTCGCCGAAGAGAAATTTGTTGGATTTATTCGAGCTTTCACTCGAGGCGCGCAGCGCTTCGGTGAGTCTATCACGCAAGATTCCAGGGAGGGAGATGAAGAACAGATCTCTGATGACGACCGAACTAATCTCGCTGATGTCGAATCTATGAAACGGCAACGCGAACGCTTGATGAAACTGCAAATTGAATTTGAAGCTACAAAAGCGGCGCTCGAAGCACAGAAGCGGGCGTCGGGGAACAGTGTACCGAGCGCGAAACCGACACAATTTGAGGAGGATCAAGCAGCTCGTGACTTCATCCGTTCGGAAACTAATAAGATCACCGCGCGAACGTCGCTTAAGAAGGCGGCGGCAAAAGCGGCGAAAGATGCAAAGAAGTCGAACACCAATATAGTCGACGTGTTCGCTTCGGCCTTGAAGTCGGTGTCCAACATTGACACCCCTCAACGGCGAGCCGAGCGCGACGCTGCAAAGTCTCGCCTTCTCGCACTTTTGGTCAACGCCGATGGCGGACGCGATTGCGATGATGATACCATGTCTCGCCTTATGAGTCAGGTGAAGATCCTTGAAGCCTCTAATCCGACGAAGAAGAGCGCCCGGAGCCCGCTGATGCTCGGACTTTGGAGTTGCGCGTTCACCAACTGTCCACAGATTCTTGGTACACAGCAAGGGCTGAGCATGTCTGCGCTGAGGCAAAAGAATGCGGTGGCCTTCTTCCGCTACAACCTCGATGCCGCGACTTTCGAAATCGACCGTGGCTGGCCGATGCGACGTCTTAGTGGCAAGATGTCGTACAGAGATGATTCGAGTGTTGAGCTCGACATTCCCAAGGACACCGGCTTGTTTGGGGCGCTCGGGATGTCGCTGTCGTCTGAGAAACGTAATTATACGCGTCTGACTGTGAGCTATATCGATACCGATTTGAAGATTTGCCGAGGGCGAAACGACACGATATATATCTTCGTGAACAACGATCCCACTTACCGGTCGGAGAACTAAAGGCAAACTGTAACAAAAGAATGAAAAAATACTTGCATTACACAAATGGTACCGGTACCGGTACCTATTACGGGTTCTGTACAATTTCTTCGTGCATCTCATCTCCCGGCGCCGATCGAACGTGGAAATTCACGAGCGTCGGCTGCATATATGCGATGGAAATGGACATCGCGAAGGGATACACTGGGTGGAACACATACTGCACGCGGCGCTTGCTTCGCCCACTGTTCGCCACGGTGTCGTTCACCATGAGCTTGAAACTGATTCGACGCCGCGATCCACGCCGCTGACTGACGAATTTGACGCCAAAGTCAACGTGCGGTTGCAGCCTATCGATGGCGGTGATGGTGCGTTCGTCGTAAGAGAAAAGTCTCTTGTCAAAGTACGGCGAGAGGGATCTGAACTGCGGTGGATAATCCTGCGCGCGGAATAAACGCGCCGCCACGGTGTTCAGCCCGTCCTCATCCTCTTCCTCGATGCTAGATGTGCACGTATTGCACTGAGCCAACGCCTCGCCTTGGCTCCCGGCGAAGCGCGCCCAGAGCGTTTCTCCTCGAGGCGGCGCGTTCAAGTCCTCTTCTACCACGCTGTTCGACGCGTTCATGCTCATCGCCGTCTGCGTAAAGGCGCCCTTCGTGATGTCAAATACAGCGTACATCGTCGGACCGATGACGTTGTCGCCGCGTCGCGCCAACGCGTACTCTGGCGTGCCGAATTTTATCAGGAGCAAATTCGCATCCAAAATTCGCACGCGAAGCATCACGAGCGACACGTATCGCTCAAAATTTCGATGCAGCAGTCGGAGCGCGTCGACGTTCGACGACTCTCGAGCCTCGTGATACAAAAATGTCACCAGCCGTTGCGTGAGACCCGTGAGCATTGAGCGACCCGATCTCGGGAGTGCATTTGCCCGCTCGATGATTTTTGTCGACTCCTCGTGCGACGCAGCCCAAGCGCGCTCCACTGATTCTTGCTCGCGCACCGCCTCCTTATCCCCCTCCGTGATGTACTCACCGATGGAACTTACTTCTTCAAATCGTCCCTCGGCGTGCACCTTGAGAAAAACAACCCGCTGATGCTTCATGGAGAGCACCGCGAGCGTGTCGCCTCGCATGCTGACCGCGCCGTTGCGAGGCAGGTGCATGAAATCGTCTCGAAATGAAAACGCGTCCAGCTTCTCTCCCGTGGCGGTGCGCACGAGATGAAAAGTGATGCGTTGCATCGACGGTGCCCCTTGGATCCCGCTCGAGGTCTCTTGTGTCTCCGTCCCTCGTCTCCCGCCGCCCGCTCTGGTTCCGATCGGCGCGCCCTCCTCCGTCTCTCGCACCGCCCCACCCGCGGCCACGGACGCGCCATCCAGCGGCGTCGCGCTCGCCATCACGATAAAATCCCCATCATGCATCTCCAACATAAAATCTTTCACGATCGCGTCCTCACCATCGCTCAATCTCGTCGTCCACGCCTCGTCGAAATACGACCAAAACGACCGCGCCGCCCGTCTCGCGCCCTCCCCTCCCACCACGACCCCTCTCTCATCCCTCTTCACGCACGCGCTCATCCCCTTAAACCTATACCCAACGAGCTCTTGCTGATGTCTGGAGACGCACAGCAACAAATCACCGGCGCTCGTGAACTTTCTCGGCGCCACGTCCGGGAAGTCCGTCACCGTCCGCGCCGCGTTCGGCGTGATTCCCCGCGCGTACACCCCTCGCTGTCCCGCCGCGTCCGCCCCGGCCCCGCGTCCCGCCGTCGCTCGATCACGCGTCCAGTGCAGGACCGAGCTCGCGGACCGAGCGCGTCGTCCGTCGCTCCCGTCGCCGTCGTCATTCGTCATCGACGTCATCACACCG